GTTTGGGCTCACTGCAGGTTTTTCTTCCCTTCTTTTCCATTCAGTCCACTAGCTGGCTCCAGTGTGCATCCCAGCATCCCTCATGATATAAGCCATCTTGTTTCCCACTCCCTGCTCCAGTTGCTACCCCTTTCCCCCCATAATTTTAAAATTTAGTTTCAGGAGCCTGAAAAGGCACAGTTGGGGTAGGGTGAGGTTGGTTTCTGGAAATTGCACAGTTGGGGTCATAACTTCTAACACTATTAATTCTGTCAGTCTTTCACAAGTAAATTCTTATAGTTGTGTGATATGTGTAGTGTTGCCTCCTCAATTTCCTTGTGTGTTTCAGCTATCAAAGTGAGCAACGAAGTGGAGCAGGTAACAGATTGATAAGGTGATACTGCATGTAGGATAATTTGCAGATTTACAAATTTCACTTACATTTGCTTCCTAGCCATTACATTTGTGTACATTTCTGAAATTGTATTTTAAATTGTCAGGGAATTCCAGTAACAGCAATAATAAGTCCTCTGAAAAGGATCCATGATAAATAGGGGGCAGTGGAGTAACTGCAGATTCAGAGCAGTGTTGAAAAGATGAAGGACACTGAGAATGGCTACGTCATCACTTAAAAGCAAAGGAGTTAATTTGTTAGGGGGGAAATATTGTCTCCCCCCCCCCGCCCTGTTTTGACCTATTTATTTGTGCCTTTTATAGTGCTGTTTTTCCATTGACAAATAGGCAATTGGTCTCTAGGTTTATGCATCATACCTATTCCCCTTCAATCCACCTTTTGACAGCTGAAACGGACAAGGAAAATGACATGCAGGACTTGTCAGTGGTCTAATATGATGAAATTCCAGACATTAATCAACAACCATGTTCGCAATCTTTTGCACTGTAGAAGATTATTCTCGCCAAAGATGAAAATATGAACCAATTTGACCACACCCCTTCCAACAATATTGAGAAGAATTGAGACTGGCAGAATCCACTGCAAGCAGGCTCAGTTCCTTTCAGCACATTCTACATCATTTCCTTCCCCAAAAGGGAAAGAACTTTGTTTCAATGGAGGAGATGCCAAAACAGTACTTTAAACACAGGAGAGGTCAATTAGGCCTCTCCTCCTCCCCAGTGGCCATAAGTCAGTTTGCAAGTGGGATGAACTTACGTCATGAAGGCTGTTGGAAGAAGATGCTGTCAGTAACACTATTTTGGCAATTATTTTTCCTTTTCCTTATTGGGAAGTATCTGCTGCCTGCCACATCAGCTGCTTTTCCCAAGTTGTTGATTTTTTTCCCTTTTCACTGGTGTGAACCCAGTGCCCTTCAGATGTGTAGAGTTGAAAATCCCATTTTTCCCAGCCAGCAAGGCCAGTGACTTGAAATGGTGTTGCGTTCCTGCACATCTGAGGAGCACCAGGTTATGAAGGTACAGTATGCAGTATGTGGTAGAGGGGAGCAGGCATCAATCTTGAAAGATGATTTTTGAGTTGAGTTCTGCCCTGAGAAGTATTTAATACCTCTAATTAAAAAATAAAGATCAGAATCTTCTCTCAGAAGTTATAAATGGCTGTTCTTATAGCTTCTTTCTCCTAGTTTAACCAATACCGGGTTTTGATTGTTACTATACAGAGAAGACGGACTTTGACCCAGAAATACCTATTTCAGTCAACGGAGGTTCTGTTGCAATGCATTAATGTTGCAATTAATAATAACATGATAGATACTTTGGCTGCTGCTAGTTTGGAAATGGTGGAATGCTTTGGACGATTTGACCCAATTTCAGCCACCCAGTTTTTGGCCCTTTATCAGGTAAAGCAACAACTACTTTAACTAGTCATTTAGAACATTAATCGGTGAAATTAATATTATCAGCATTGACAAAATGTGTGAAGATTATTATATCATTATATGAAACTGTTTATTTTACAAATATGTCACAATTTTTAAAGCTTGTACATACATAATGCTAACACTTTCTTAGTGGTTAGATGGTTGGCAGCATGACATGATCTCATACACTATGAGGTGTTACACAAAAATAACTGGATGAGTAATAAAAAAATATTTATTGATGGATTACAGCATTCTGAACATTGTCACCTTCTATATACTCCCCCTCCCAAGCTCTACACTGCCCTATACGTATTTTCCCTTGATTGAAACAGTGCTGGAAGTCTTGCGTGAGACTCTTCAACAGGCTTGCTGTTTTTGTCTTCACTTCATCCATTGACGCAAACAGTGTTCCCTTCAGGTCACTTTTGATTTTCGAGAACAAGTAAAAATCACAGGGAGCTAAAGCATGTGAATAAGGAGGATGATCGAGGACAGGAATGTTTTTTCCACTCAGAATTTTTTTTTTTTTTTTTTACAGAAAAGGCATTGTGCGTGGAAGTGTTGTTTGGTGAAGCACCCACCGTTTTGCATTTCAAACGTGCATTTCACCTTTCCTTATCAAGTCTCTTCTGCCTACTTTGTACCTTTCTCTAAGATTAGAGCAACTAATCCTATGATAGGCAGCCAGATACCCTTATAGCCAGCATATCCATCTCCATACCCCAGCTGAGGAATGTTAGTTTAACTCAGCCAAACCATGGTAAAAGCTTCATCACTACCACTACAATCCATTATGTAAACTAGTAAGCTCTTTAGAAATTATATTATTACTTTATCAGGCATACAAAACAAGATTCAGAAAGTGAACTATATTTATGAGGAAATTGTTCCCTGGAAGCAAGTGAAATAGTTGAGAAAATCTATGTTTTATTGTCAAAGCATGTTTACTGCACTATGGCTGTTAATAAAGCAATGTATGTCCCACTTTTCATTTCATAGTTGCCTGATAGGTAGCAACTTGTTTAGAAACATTTGCCAAACTATACTAACACTGTTACAGAGTTGTTCAGCGTCAATGATGATGAAAAACATCCTGTTAGCAGCTACATTGAACACCAGCAGTTCACAGCTGGCTGCATTGCTGCATCTGCATCAACACTTGGAAAAAAAAGGAGATATAACAAGCAACCTTTTCAAAAATGTGGAACAGCGATTAGCTGCTATTTCAAAGGTAATGTGATTATTTAAAAATGGTAATTCCCCATCTTACTAGGAATGGATCCACAAAAACTTGCTTCTACCAGCATATATACCAGGAGTGACCAGACTTGCTGAATGGAAGAGCCACAAACACTAAATGCCAGATTGCTGGAGAGCTGCCAGCAGGTACCCACTGGGACCAGCGTGTTGTACAATAAACTCAGAACTGCATGGAGTTCACAAGCATCACCCCTGATATATATCCTTGGAACATCTCTGAGACCATCTGTGCTGATTAAAGTTGAGATCCAGTTCATGTTTAGCCAGAATACAGGCCTACAACTCTCTGGCTCTTTGGGGAATTTTGAGAAATGTTGGGCTTTTTTCTGTCTAAATGTGTAGGATTGCACCTTTATTTTCTCTTCCCCCAATTTGTATTTAAATAGGCCCTTAGGAAACATTAATCCCACAAGTATTTATTCTTGCAGAAATGATTCACTGCCTAAATAAAGCATAAGTTAACTAAAGGTGCAATCCTCCTGGATTAACCACTGATTTTGGAGGCTTCTGATTATCTATGTACTGCTAGCAAGTATGGGAGGAGCAATGGAGGCTATTGCTGCCTTTTTGTAATTTTACCTCTGGACAGGCCTCTGAGCCTAAGGTTGGCACTAAGCCAGGACTAAAGCGACCATCATATTCTGCCCTTATTCCCCCTTTCCTTCTTTCCTCTTCAAGCTCAACCGAGACCACTTTTGTGACCTCAGAATTCAGGCACCACAGTTCTTTCTGCAGCTATGAGTGGGTGGGAAGAGGGATCAGATCACAAAGTTGCCTACCAAAGTTGTAGCAATTACATTGTAATCAGAAAAATCCTATGGCCCCTAGGATGACATCCAAGCACCATAGAAATGGACCCTTAACATTTATTTTATTTCTACTCCCAATATTTACAGGTTCAACCATTCAAAAATATTCCTAGCATGAAAAATACTAGATGAACAACTTGCTTTCCGTATACTATAATATTCTGTTTTACCTTAATCACAAAAGTATATGTTATGAGATATTTGCAACTATACTATATTTTGGCCAATGCTATCATTGTATTTTGTGATGCAAATAGTTTGAGCATTTGATGATGGAAACATTTCATTATAATTTTTTGCATAGGCATGGGGAAATCTTTGTATTTCTATACAACACTTTAATATCATGAATGAATTACCACCAAATTTCCATGTAATCATTCTCCAGCATTCAGAAGACAGGTATGAATATAACAGTTCTTATGATGTGACTATTTTATACTGACTGTCTCATATTTCAGTGACTTGTGGCAGGCATATCATTTAACCATGATCAGTGTTAGTCATATTTGCTCCTTCCTGTTTGTTTCAACACTGCTTAAATTATTAGATATATAATTTGACTTTATTTGCCAACTGATGGTGTATATAGGGAGGCACAAAAGAAAACATGGTTAACATATACCTTGATTTACTACTTCAGCTCATGGTTTAACATTCTGGTTTGTGTCCAGTCATTAACCATGCATAGTTATCCAAATGAAATCTTGGCCACAAGTTTAAAACAAAACAACCATAGTTAAGCATTATATCTTTGCCAGTTTTCATCTTGTTTTATTGAACAGACATTTCACAAGTAAAGATAGAGTAGATTGAGCATCTGCTGATTAGTTGCTTAGTGCTGACAAATTGGTGACTAGGAGATAATTCTTATCACTTTCTCCAAACATATTATTTATTAGAGGATGCAAACCTGATCCAAAATATCATTTTGTGTGCATCAGGAAACCAAACAGGATTAATGTTATCTTGTAAAATGCCACTTTGCTGTTGGACTTAACCTGCTATGGCACGGGTGAGCAATACATAGTTCATAGGCCATGTGCAGTGCCCACTGGCTTGCACTGAATCCCATTCTTAAAAAAAAAAAACAAAAAAACTTTCAATCAAAAAGGTCCATTAGTTAATATTACTAAAGCAAACTCAATTATCAGGAACTGCCAATAATTTTCATTATACCCTCTACTTGTATGCATATGTTACCCAGGCTGCAGTTCATAGAATATATCTTTAGCCTGTCTAGAAACAAATCTACCTCTGAACCAACCTAACTGTTTCTGTCCCAAACAAGTTTCTATTTCTACAGCTTCTTAGCACTATGATTCCTTACTTCTGTAAGTCCATGCATTTTGATATTGTTTTCCAGATTCTGCGATCTACTTTTTGGCAGCTTTCAGTAACCATTCTACCAGTAGTTCGTTCATTCATTCATTCATTCATTCATTCATTTTATTTCACGTCTACATTGCCCCACAGAAGAAGCTTCATGTTTTATTTATGTTGATGGTTATCTTATGAAGTTGAGGTCCATTCCTACTTTCAGAATATAGATTATATTTTCCTTTGAGTGTTCTGAAGCTAAAATGGTTCTCCTTTTCATATGGGTATAGTGATAGTGACAATATTTTAAAAAAATTATACAAAGCAAGCACTCAAATCGTCTATTTTCTGGATTTGTTTCCTCCACAATCTTATTTATTATTATTATTATTATTATTATTATTATTATTATTATTATAACATTTCTATGCCGCCCCTTGCCGAAGCCTCGGGGCGGCTTACAACACAATAAAATACATTGAAATACAATAGAACATAATAAATTACCATTAAATACAAAAATACAAAAAATACACTGAGTTACAAACATAATAATATAAAATTAAAATTATCAGTATAAAATAAGTAAATAAAGAATATAGGAGGAGAAAAGAGAAGGAAGAAGAAGTTGCCCTGGCCAGATCATATGTTTTAACAATTAAAATGATGTTTAAATAAAAAGGTCTTGACCTGGCGCCGAAAAACCAGTAACGACGGTGCCAGGCGGACCTCTTTGGGGAGTGAATTCCATAGGTTGGGCGCCACCGCAGAGAAAGCCCTCCTCCGAGTACTTACTCTCCTAATTTCTTTCATGGAGGGTTCCCGGAGAAGGGACTCTCCCGCAGATCTCAAAGGGCGGTTGGGCATATACGGACGTAAGTGCTCGTTCAGGTAGCCAGGATCCAAGCCGTTTAGGGCTTTATAGGTCATAATCAACACCTTGAATTGGGCCCGGGATTCAATGGGAAGCCAGTGAAGCTGACGGAGGACTGGAGTCATGTGAGCATAACGCCCCGTCCCCGTCAGCAACCTGGCAGCTCTATTTTGCACCAATTGAAGTGTTCGGACCATCTTCAGGGGAAGCCCCACGTAAAGCACGTTACAGAAGTCTAGGCGGGAAGTCACCAGCGCGTGTGTCACCGTTGCCAGGCGGTTGTACTCCAGGTAGGGGCGCAGCTGATTAATCAGCCGAAGCTGAAGGAAGGCGTTCCTCGCCACCGCTGTCACCTGAGCTTCCAAAGAAAGCTCTGGGTCGAGGAGTACTCCTAAGCTGCGGACCTTATCCCTAAGAGGGAGTGTTGCACCATTCAGGACCAGGTCAAATCCACCCTCTCCGAAGCCCGATCCGCCAACCAACAGGACCTTTGTCTTGTCTGGGTTGAGTTTCAGTTTATTGGCCCTCATCCATTCCATTACCTCGGCCAAGCACCGGTTCAGCACAGCCACTGCCTCACCTGGATTAGTGAAAAACGAGAGGTAGAGCTGGGTATCATCAGTGAATTGATAATTCCGCAATCCACACCTCCTGATGACCTCTCCCAGCGGTTTCATATAGATGTTAAATAGCAGAGGGGATGGAATGGAGCCCTGTGGTACTCCATGGCATAGCTGCCATGACGTAGAGACATGGTCCCCCAGCACTACCTTCTGGAATCGACCGTTGAGATAGGAGCAGAACCACTGCAAAGCAGTGCCTCCAACCCCCAATCCCGCTAGCCTATCCAGAAGGATACCATGGTCGATGGTATCGAAAGCCACCGAGAGGTCCAGAAGAACCAACAGGGATGCACTCCCCCTGTCCTTCTCCCTGCACAGGTCATCGAACAGGGCGACCAAGGCAGATTCAGTACTGTACCCAGGTCTGAGGCCGGACTGAAAAGGATCCAGATAATCAGTTTCATCCAAGAGTGCTTAGAGTTGTCCCGCCACCACTCGCTCCAACACCTTGCCCAGAAACGGGATGTTGGCCACAGGTCTATAGTTAGTGGCCATCTCTGGATCCAGTGACGCTTTCTTCAGGACCGGTCGTATTACCGCCTCCTTTAAAGGGACAGGCATTCGACCATCCCTCAGAGAAGCGTTAACCACTTCCAAGATCCAGGTCCCAATCCCATGCTTGGAGTTATTTATTAACCAAGACGGGCAAGGATCCAATAGGCAAGTGGTGGGACGTACTCTTCCAAGCACCTTGTCCACATCATCAGGCCGCAATAATTGAAATTCCTCCAATAATTTTGGAGCAGACGGTAGCATTGGCGTCTCCCCAGAGACCTCTGATTCATTAGTGGAGTCCAGCTCGTGACGAATCTGAGCGATTTTCTCCCTGAAATGCCTGGCAAAGTCGTCACAGCGGGCCTTTGAGGGTGGCATCGGATCTTCCTTAGGACCCGGGCGAACCAGGCCTTGTACCACTCGAAAAAGCTCCGCCGGATGGCATTGTGAGGAGGCAATGGAAGTGGAAAAAAACTTCTTTTTCGCCGCCTTCACCGCCACAACATAGGCCCGATAGTGGGCTCTCAAGTGTGTGTTCGGTCAGATTCATCCCGTGATTTCCTCCACCTACGCTCTAGTTGTCTCCCAACCCACTTCATCGCCCGCAATTCAGGTGTATACCAAGGGGAAGAGCGAACTCTGCCCGGTGGGAGAGGACGCTTAGGAGCGATCGTGTCCACAGCCCTGGTCATCTCTCCATTCCACAGTTCGACCAGAGCCTCGACAGGAGCACCAGTCTTGTCAGCCGGAAACTCCCCCAGGGCCTTCAGGAATCCATCCGGATCCATCCGGCTCCGGGGGCGGGCCCATACAATCGGGTCCGCACTCTTATAGAGGGAGAGGCCGCTCTCGAGCACAAACCTCACCAGGAGGTGATCTGACCATGACAGGGGAGTCAAACATAAGTTCCTCACCCTCAGGTCATCCTCTTCCTGCCCCGTCGTGAATACCAGGTCCAGAGTGTGTCCACGTTCATGGGTCAGGCCGATGACGTGTTGAGACAGGCCCATGGCCGTCATAGAGGCCATGAAGTCCTGAGCCGCCCCTGTCAGTCCAGACTTGGCATGGAGATTGAAGTCCCCCAGGACCAATATCCTGGGGGTCCTCAACACCAGGTCCGAGACGGTCTCTGTCAGCTCAGACAGGGAGACTGCTGGGCAGAAGGGTGCACGGTACACCAACAGAATCCCCAATCTGTCTCGTTTGCCCACCTCCAAGTAGAGGCACTCCAGCCCTGGTCTCGAAGGGACCGGAAGACCCGTGAGGGAGATGGAGGCTCGGTAAACCAACGCGACTCCCCCTCCCCTCCCTTCTGGGCGTGAACAGTGTTGAACCAGATACCCGGGCGGGCACAATTGGGAGAGGGCAACATCCCCTCCCTCTCCCGTCCAGGTCTCCGTTATGCAAGCCAGGTCGGCCCCCTCATCCACAATCAAGTCATGGATGAGGGAAGATTTATTATTGACCGACCTGGCATTGAGCAGCAGCACCGTCAGGCCCGAGGGGTGGTTGACAAGGCTACCTGGAGCCCTCTGGTTGGGGGCAGAACCAGAAGGAGGGATAGGTGTCAGCCATCTGTCCATCCTTCTTCTACGTGGACACGTTAAGCCCCTATTGCTGTAACGACCATTGCCCGTGACCACGCCAATAGCAGCGCCCGTGTGTTCCGCAAGATATATAAACGTCGACATGGCCAGGGATGACTCAAAGCACTGATTAAAGCAGGGTAAAATTATAAAGTAGGTCGAAGGAGGAGAAAAAAGAACGATAAAAAGAAAAAGAAAGGGGGGGGGGAAGAGGAAAAAAAATCCTTCCCCTTCCCTAGGATTCAGCAGTAGGCAAGCCTATTTCAACAAGAGTCCTTGGCCAGCCCAGCCCCCCCTCTCGTCCCCCGAACGGCACCCAAACGGCGGCGACCCCCTTTTGACGCCGCCTGAGGCCGCCGGCCCCGGCTGCGGCTGCTGCTTTGTGTCCGCAGGGCGCCTCCGAGTCCCGCCCCGTCGCACACCGCGCAAGATTAATTCTATTATTAGCCTAAAAACTGAAAGTTTGTTAAAATATTTCTGATGTTTTGTCTTGAGCTAAATATGGAGAAACAAGTTTTAGAATACAGCAGAAGATCACAGATGTTTTACCACCTTTCCCCAAATTCAGTCCTTCCCATTGAAAGCCAGTAGTGTGATGTTTAGAGTGCTGCATCTGAAACCTGAGAGATTTGGGTTCTAGTCCCCACTTGGTCATGAAGCTCACTTGGTGACTTTGGGCCAGTCACAGACTCTCAGTCCCATCTACCTCACAAGGCTGTTATTGTAAGGATAAAATGGAGCTATACATGTCACCTTGGCTTCCTTGCAAGAGGAATTAAAACGTGGGATATAAATGCAGTGTTGTGATGATGATGATTCATTTACTTTGGATTCTTTATCTTTCTCCAAGAAAAACTTCCAAGAAGTAGATAGCTAACAGTCTGAAGAATGTGGTACACAGACCTTTGAACTATGTAAAAATTCCATTCATTTATAGAATTAAGGCAGTATTAAGATTTTTATCATTTTCAGTTATGTATATATGTGTCATGCGTATGGTCTCAGAAGAGGTTCCCATGCGCACACAAGGGACTGAAGGTTCTGATGAGAACCAGAGCTCTAGAGAAGAAGGAGAAGAGTAGTTAATCATTGTATCAACAGTACAGAGCTCTCGCCCTAATTCCCCAGATGTTTTGACTAGCGGAACATCAGGTGGTTTGGGGTGGGGGGGCTAGGCTGAGGCCATGCAGGATCAAGACACTTCAAGGGCAGACATGGGACTTGATACTGGTCTGAATTGTGAGAATGAAGCTGATAAAGAACAGGCTGTGGGGAGGGGGGTGCTGCTGGGAGTATTGAGGATGCTCAATCACACACGTGCACACGTCAACTGGGACAAACTGGGACAGTTGGAGTCCCAATTAGAGGAATGGTGGCAAGTGCGCATTCAAAGTGCCCCACCTCTGAACGTCCCTGAAGAGTTCATAAGCAAAGTTTGGGGTGACATCACAGCAAGAGGTCAACTTTCTATTCTGGATGTATTATCAGTGTTGTGAATACTTTGTAGCTGTTCAGCTTGAAGGTTCTTTTTTAGTCATCTGGAATAAAGCATCTACTGTAGCATCTACTGGAGTGATTGCCTTTGTTGGGAAGGGGTGCCTGGCTCATGACAGCATGCACATTAGATTACAAGGCAGCAAGGAATTATTTGTGAAAATAAAGAGGATTGAGTGTTTTTTATATAACAGATCGCTCCTATATGGTGCAGTACTTGAGAAAGTAAAATCGACCAATCCCAAGGAACAAAAGGAACAGAAGGAAAAGGGAGGACAACAAAAGGAAAAGGGTGGGCAGAAGGAAAAGAGTGGACAACAAAAAGGAAAACCTGCTCAATGGACTTGTAAGTCTTTCTAAGCCATGTAAACGGAAATATTCTGTCTTTTGCTGAGCTCCACTGAATGTTCAAACAGAAATAATTTGGGAATAAAAATATAAATTTGAGAGTCTCCCTCCCTTCGCTTTGTTCTTTGCTGTCTCATTGGCAGTGTCATCAGCTCCATCTTTTAACTTCATCTTCTTGCCAAAAAAAGTGTTCTTAGCTAGTTGGGGATCATATCAAGAGCATGATAAAATTACATTGCATGTAATTCATTACAAAGCCAGTCACAGATCCAATCTGAAGTAAGAACAATAATTCTTGCCTTTGCTATGAATAGGTGAACATTTTTGTCCTTGATGAAACAGAAATACTTCCCACAGTAACCACAAACTTTAGCCAAAGGCACTCAACCTATTAACTCTTCCTTAAACTTTAGTATACAACTATTGTTTGATGTTGAAAATGAGCTCTTTAGTCAGTTACTCAGTGGAGGCTACAACACTGCCGCTCTAATTCCATGGTGCATGCCTCCCTCATGAGTAGCTACCTGGATACACCAATACCATAATAATATCTGGTACCTAATTTACTTCCATTCCTACTATAGTCAGTCATTACCTTTTGTACATAGAATCTTTCTCCACTTGCACATAATAAATACGGGTATGAAAAAGGAGACTGCAATCCATTAAAAAAAAGATAATGTCATTAATGTGAACAGCACAATGTTTCATTGTGTGAGCTGCCTAAGGCGACCATTCTGGCAGTTACAGGTGGCATATAAATTTGTGAATAAATAAATAAGATTGTATTTTGATTATCACCAGTGCAGGCTAAAATTGTACGGTCCTCTGTGGATTCTGATACATTGTTCAATTTGATGGAAAAGGTCAAAAGTTTCAAAGAGAAGAAGATGAAAAGTCTTCAGGAACATTTAGCACCAGATATTACACAAGATGACAAACTTGAGTTTCAAAGAAGGCAAGAATCAGCTGCCAAATTAGATAAGGTAAGAACCAATTATTTACTTAGATAATTAGTTACTTAGCCACTGCAGTTGTGCATATTACTAGTTTTACATACTAATAACTAATTGTTCTCTCTTGAGATGTGTATACAATATTAGCTGTTGTCCAGTATAATTTCGCTAGGGTCAGAAAGATCATGCACTATGACACCTTTAAGTCTTCAAGTGGTGGGAGGGCACCCAGTGCTGACTCCCAATCTGACCTAAGTTAATTTGTCAGAGCAGCACCCCTTCCATGTTAATATATAGTAAATATTTTTTTAAAATGTTGAGTGACCTTCAGACCCAAAACAACTGAAGGTGACTGCTTTTGGGAATGAGTTTGTGAGTATTGCCATTGTAACTATTATGCCAATATTTTCTTTAAATAAAGAAAATGCTCTCTAAATAAAGTATGCATACACATAATAAAACATAGTATTTCCATAATTATTTTATTCTTTGGATATTTCAGTTATGTAACTCATTTACTGTCATGCATGCATGTCATGTCAGATTGCATCCCATTTTGGTAGAACTGACAGTTCAGATTCTGAGAGGAGATGCACATTGGAGGCAACCTATCCTGGCAGAAATGACTACTCAGACTCTGATAATGAGACTGTTGTTGAAACAGTCCCAAGCCCAGTTGCAGTTCAAGGGCTTGAGACTCTGCAGGTTTCAACTATGGGAGAGATTAGCCCATGGCCAGAGGAAGGCCCCAGTCAACCCAGCCGTGGGAAATGGGAGGAGTTGCAGCATCCTGAGAGAGAAGACTTGGAGATGGGTAGGACTGATGGAGAACTCCTACCCCCTGATGAGGTAAATAGATGGTTAGACATCATCATCCCAGGGTGGCCCAACTGTACACAGAGAGAGGAGGAAAAGTATGCCCAGTTCCACAGCACTCCTACCCCACTGAGAGAGACATAGAAGGTTCATAAAGTCTGAGTAAAGAATGTAAGGGTTCACCATTCAAGAGATTCCTAACATGCATTGCTGACAACTTCTTCCAGCAGAAGGTAGAGGAAGGAACAAAAGGAGCAGCTATCCTTGATCTAATACTAATTAACAGGGATGGCCTGGTGGATGAAATAGCAGCTATGGGAACTCTGGGGGAAAGAGATAATGTGATACTTGAATTCTCAATTATAAAGGAGACAAAGGGTAACTACAGCCAAACATGTACCCTGGACTTCAAGAAAGCCAACTTTGTCCAACTCAGAACAATGATAAGCAAAGTGCCATGACAACTCACTCTTAAGGAAAAAGGAGTCCAAGGGGTGGTGGGGAAATATTAAAAAAGAAGGTTCTCCAAGCACAGCTACAAATAATTGCAACAAGAAAAAAGTGTAGAAGACAACAGAGGAAATTAAGTGAGCCTGAAAGAAAAAAAGAACATGTACAGGAAGTGGACACAGGGCCAGGCCACAAAGGAAGAATATAAACAACTAGCAAGGAATTGCAGGGGCAGCATCAGGAAGGCTAAAGTAGGAAATGAACTGAGAATAGTGAGAGATGCTAAGAACAACAAGAAAGCCTTCTTCAGATACATCCGGGGAGGGGGGGGAACCATGAGAAAGAGAAGGGTGTCCAGCTGCTTAAAGTGGATGGCAGAGTGATAACAGATGACAAGGAAAGGCAGAGGCACTCAATTCCTACTTTGCCTCAGTTCTCCCACAAGAAAATCTACAACAAAGGGGAAGCACAAGCTGAAAATGAGAGATGGCAGCCCAAGATTGACGCACAAATGGTAAAGGAATACCTACAGTAGATGGAATAGATACATTCAAATCTCCAGGGCCTGATGAACGCCATCCCAGAGTCATAAAAGAGCTAGTGGAGGAGCTCTCAGAAACACTAGCTATGATCTTTGATAAATCCTGGAAAGCAGAAGACGTCCCAGATGACTGGAGAAGGGCTAATCTCCCTATCTTCAAAAAGGGGAAAAAAGATTAACCTGGGAACTATATACCACTTAGACTGCCATCAGTCCCTGGAAAAGTTCTGGAGTGAATTATTAAAAAATCCATCTGCAGGCATTTTAAAGAAAATGCAGTGATTAATAGAAGCCAACATGGATTAATCAAAAATAAATCCTGTCAGATTCACTTAATCTCATTTTTTTGCTGAATAACCTTTCCAAATGGACAGAGAGAACACTGTGGGCATCATCTACCTAGCTTTTAGCAAAGCTTTTGACGTTCTAGTAAGCAAATTAGCAAATAAGTGGACTAGATAGCAGAACTATTAGGTGGATCCAGAATTGGCTGCTAAACCAGTCACAAAGAATGGCATCTTCTCAAACTGGAGGGAGGTAACTAGTGGGGTGCCACAGGGTTCAGTCCTGGGTCTGGTGCTGTTCAACATCTTTATTAGTGATTTAGATGAGGAAGCACAAGGAAAGACAATCAAATTTTCAGAGAGTAGAAAGCTGGGTAGAATAGAAAGCACCCTAGAACAGGTTAATACCTTTTTATTTAATCAATATTTTAATAAGTTTTAATATTGAATTTTTATTACCGCATTTTAATTTGCAGCCAGAGTGGGTTGTCAATTTATTTATATTATATTGTTTATGTACTTTGGAATTTTATTTGTGTAAGTCATCCTGAGGCTTTTGCAAAGGACGGCATACAAATATCTTGGATGGATGGATGGATGGATGGATGGATAGACGGATGGATAGCAACCCCCAACTTTATTGGCACCAGGGACCAGTTTTGTGGAATACAATTTTTCCACAGACTGAGGCAGGGAGGATGGGTTTCAGGATGATTCAAGCACATTACATTTATTGTGCACTTTATTGTGCACTATTATTTTTATTGCATTATAATATATAATGAAATAATTATACAACTCACCATAATGCTAGAGGCCGAAGATCCAAAAGGGTCTTGCAACAGCAGCACGGGGCCTCAAATAGGCCTCACGGCCTGACATTGGCTTTTCCCGCCATCTCATGTTTTGTCATGTGCACACTGCACGCTGCATACTGGGCCTGCTCAGCCTCCTTGCGCCTCACTCCATCTCCCCTGACCTGCAGCCCCACCATTACCTGCTTCCAGCTTCCCTCGCTGCTCACACACACCCTCCCTGGCTACTTTGCATCACTTGCTACTCAGCTCTGCTACTGTTGCTCCCTCCTTTTGGGGCCCAAGACCCAAAAGGGTCCTAACGATAATCTGCATTTGAAACCACTCCCCATTGGCGATGCTAGCACTAGGGAAGAACTGCAAATACCAATGAAGCTTCACTCACTCACTGGCAACTTGCTTCCTGCTGTGTGGCCTGGTTCTAACAGACCATGGTCTGCGGCCCAGGGGTTGGGGACCCCTGCCCTAGAAGGAAGAATGAAGATCCATGGTGATCTTGATAAATTTGAATGCTGGGCTGAAAGCAACAAAATGAGATTCAATAAGGACAAGTGCCAATCCTCCACCTAAGAAAAAAAAAAAATCAAATGCATCACTATAAGATGGGGAATATGTGGCTCAACAGAACTGAAAAAGAAAAAGACCTTGGAGTAATTGTGAACAACAGGCTAAATATGAGCTAACAATATGATGCAGCCACCAAAATGGCAAATGCTATTTTGGGATTCATTAACAGAAGTATTACTTTCAAAAAACAACTAGTAGTTCCCCTATACTCTTCACTGTGTCCATTTCTGAGCAAATGCAGAAGGATGCAAAAAATTAGAGTCCAGGGGAGGCAACAAAAATGATCCAGGGTTTGGCAACACTGCTGTATGAGGAGAGACTGAGAGAACTGGGCATGTTCAGCCTTGAGAAGAGAAGACTGAGGGGGCACATGATATTTATTTTACTTAAAATATTTCTACCCCTTCCTATAGGGAAATCATCCCAGGATGGCTTACAATAATAAGAACAATAAATAGACAACATACGTAATAACCAAACAAAAAGACAAATGCAACTATAAATAGTAAAACCAGTTAAAATACCTTAATCCTTAAAATAATGGGTAAATAAAAAGGTTTTTACTTGGTGCCGAAAAGAATATAAAGTTGGCACCAGGCAAACCTCTGTGGGGAGCGTATTCCACATTCTGAGCACCACTGCAGAGATGGCCCTCCTCCGGGTATACATACTCTTTACCTCCCTCAAGGAGGGTTTGCGGAGTAGGGCCTCTCCTACAGATCTTAGAAGGTGAGAGGGCATATAGAGAAAGAGACATTCCTTCAGGTATCCTGGTCCCAAGCTGTTTAGAGCTTTATAAGCTAATACCAGCACCTTGAATTGGGCCCAGACTTCAATTAGAACCCAGTGTAACTGTTAGAGGATGGTGTTATATGAGAATGACGACCAGTCCCCATCAGCAGTCTGGCAGCTCTGTTTTGAACCAATTGAAGCATCCAGACTATTTTCAAGGGCAGCCCCACGTAGAGCGTGTTACAATAATCCAGTTACCAGAGCATGTTGCTAGGCAGTGCTCGTCAGGTAAGGACACAGCTGATGGATCAGCCAAAGCTGAAGAAAAGCACTCCTTGCCACCCCTGTCACCTGGGCCTCCAGGCACAGCTCTGGGTCAAGCAGCACACCCAAGCTGCAAACCCCATCCAGGTCAGGGCTAAAATCACTTACCTGCAAACCTGAACCGCCCAGCAAAAGGATCTCTGTCTTATCTGAACTGAGTGTCAGTTTATTGGCCCTTATCCAGCCCATTACCTCGCCCAGGCACCAGTTCAGAACAGCCACGGCCTCACCTGGATTAGTTGTTAAATGAGAGGTAGAGATGGGTGTCATCAACATACTGATGGCTCTGCAGCCCAAATCTCCTGATGACCTCTCCCAGTGGTTTCATGTAGATGTTAAAGAGCATGGGGGACAAAATGGAGCCCTGCGGTACTCCATGGCAAAGCTGCCATGGCGCAGAGCTATAGCCCCCCAGTACCACCTTCTGGAAATGGCTGGCCAGATAGTGGAACCACTGCCATGCAGAGCCTCCTACCTAACCCGGCCAGCCTATCCAGAAGGATACCATGGTCAATGGTATCAAAAGCTGCTGAGAGGTCCAGAAGAATCAATAGGGATGCACTCCCCCTGTCCCTCTTCCTGCACAGGTCATCGTACAGGGTGGCCAAGGCAGATTCAGTACCATAACCGGGTATGAAGCCAGACTAGAAAGAGCCCAGATAATCAGTTTTATCCAAAAGCACCTGGAGTTGTCCCACCACCACCCGTTCCAGCACCTTGCCCAGAAATGGGATGTTGGCCACCGGTCTATAATTGGTGGCCATCTCTGGATCCAGAGATGCCTTCTTTAGGACAGGCTTGATTACTGCCTCCTTTAAAAGAGTGGGCACCCAGCCGTCCCTCAGAGAAGTGTTAATAACCTCTAGGATCCAGGAACCAATCCCATGTTTGGCTTTGGTCAGCAGCCAAGAAGGGCAAGGGTCTAGCAAACAGGTGGTAGGGTGGACCATCCCAAGCACTTAGTCCACATCCTCAGGCTGCAACAACTGGAACTCATCCAACAATGATGGACCAGACAGAGCTCTGGACACCTCCTGTTCTGGAATCATATCAACTGTGGAGTCCAGCTTGTGGTGAATCTGAGTGATTTTTTTCCTTGAAGTGCTGCGTAAAGTCATCACAGCAGGCTACTGATGGTGTCACCAAATCTTTGTATTAGGTCATTCATCATTGCCTCCTCTGGACGGCACTGTGAGGAGGCAATGGAAGCAGAGAATTGCCTCTTCACCCTCACTACCGCAGCATAGGTGAGCTTAAGAGCTCACCACAGATAATGAGCTCTTAAGTGTGCTCAGTCAGATTCGTTCCATGATTTTCTCCACCTGCACACTAACCGTCTCCCAGCCTGCTTCATTGCCTGCAACTCAGGCGTATACTATGGTGCTGAGCGGGCTCTGCAAGATGGGAGAGGACACCTAGGAGCACTTCTATCAATTGCCCTGGTCATTTCCCCATTCCACAAATCAACCAGAGCATCAACAGGAGTGCCAGTTATATCAACTGGAAAATCTCCCAGAGTGCTCAAGAATCCATCTGGATCCATAAAACTCCAGGGGCAGGCCATCTTAATAGGGTCCTCACCTTTACAGAAGGAGAAGCCTACCCCGAGCTAAACCTCACAAGGAAGTGATCTGACCATGTCAAAGGAGTTAGAATCAGATTCCTCACTTCCAGATCTCCATCTTCCTGCCCCATCGAGAAAACCAGGTCCAGAGTGTAACCTCTTTCATGGATTGGGCTGGTGACATGTTGAGACAGCCCCATGGCTGTCATGGAAGCCATGAAGTCCTGAGCTTCCCCGGGCAGAACAGCCTCGGTGTGGAGATTGAATTCCCTCAGGACCAACATCCTGGGGATCCTCAACACCAAGTTTGAGACTGTCCCTGTCAGCTCAGGTATTTATTTATTTATTTAAAACATTTCTATGCCGCCCCATTCGCCAAAGCCTCGGGGCGGCTCACAACATAAAATTAAAATATAATACATTCAGAATATAAAACAAATTAACAATATAAAATAAGTCACCCTGGCCAGATAAAATAAGCAAATAATATTAACAATTAAAATGACATTTAAATAAAAAGGTCTTCACCTGGCGCCGAAAAACAAATAACGACGGCGCCAGGCGGACCTCTCTGGGGAGTGCATTCCATAGATTGGGTGCCACCGCAGAGTCTGGTAGGGAGTCTGATGGGCAGAAGGGTGCATGATACACCAGCAGAATCCCTATTCTGTCTCGGTCACCCAATACCAGGTACAAACATTCTAAGCCTGCTCTTCAGGTAACAGGAAGCCTGCAAGGGTGATTGGATAAATAAGAGTGACCTCCCCTCCCCTCTCGGTGTGGCTGGTGCTGCACCAGATACCCAGGCAGGCACAGTTGGGTAAGGGAAACATCCACCCCTTTTCCTGCCCAGGTCTCTGTAATACATGCCAGGTCAGCCCTCTCATACACAATTAGATCGTGGATGAGAGGGCTGACCTGGCATGTATTACAGAGACCTGGGCAGGAAAAGGGGTGGATGTTTCCCTTACCCAACTGTGCCTGCCTGGGTATCTGTAATACATGCCAGGTCAGCCCTCTCATACACGATCTAATTGTGTATGAGAGGTGTTTTATTATGGACCAACCTGACATTTAATAGCAGCACTGTTAGGCCCAAGGGTCGGTTGATATTACTGCCAGGAACTGTCATACCTAACGACTCAGAGGTGTCGTTAGCATGCGAAAGAGGGCCAGGAGCCCCCAGCGAGGATCAGGCTTTAGAGCAGGAAGATTTCTACTTGGTGCCCATGGCACAAACACCCCTGCCACCTCACTATGAAGTTTTTGTGCAAGTTCCTGGGAATCAGGCTGAACAGTCTGTTGCCATGGAGAATGCCCGGCCAAGGAGGAGACTTTGACACTTGAACCAATTAGAAGAGAGGCATAGTGAAAGAAGGAGGGAGAGAATTTTATCTGGCCCCCAGAGGGAGGGACGCAGAGGGTGAAATCTACGTCATAAATCTCTGAGAGGTCAGAAAGGAGGGGGCAACTGTGTTGCTTAGTACCATCCACAGCAGCTCCTATATCATCTGTCATCCGTATATCTTGCAGTTGTTTAGAATAAAAGGACTTTAAACTTTTATTGCCTGTGTGTGTGTGAGTAATTAGGACAAGTACTACTGCCTCACAACAGGAACCCTCCAGTTGGGGAAGTAACCAGAAGAGGGGACAGATATCAAACATCAGTCCCTTCTTCTTCTATGACGTGTTAGACTCCCCCGCCCCATGCCATATCTTCCACTGCCCATTACCACCGCAATGGTGGCACCCACACATTCCCCAGGCACTCCCATATTAATTTAAAACCTATAACAATAACACACAGTCGCAAATACAAATTACAGTAAAAAGTTAAAACCCTTCAATCAAGCTAAAAAGAAAAGGCAGAATCCCTGGCCCAACCCCACTGGCCCCAAATGGCTCTGGCCATGGCCAGCAAGAAGAGCACTCCGCTGCAGCCCCTCCACCGCAATCGGCTCCCACCCCTCCTGGCCCAGCTCCCACCTGTGCAGGGAGATGAAGGCAGAAGCAAGGGCAGGACCCACAGAGGCCTTGCCGGCAGTGGATACAGCAGCAGCAGCGTCCCTGGCCTCACGGTATAGCCTGATGGCAGTGTCCATGGCAGATCGTCAGGGGGAGGGGCTGGTCAGGTGATGGTCCAGGTGCAGGTGGGTCCATCTATAAGTACTTCAAAGGCTGTCACGTAGAGGAAAGTCAAGTTCTCTTCTCACTGATGCCAGAGAATAGGACACGGAATAATCAATTCAAGCTGCAACAACCAGGTTCAGAAATCAAGAAAAACTTCCTCACTATCAGAGCAATATGACAGTGGAACCAGTTGCCTAGAGAGGTTGTGAGCTCTCCCACATTCAAGGTGAAACTGGACAGCCATCTGAGTGGGATAGTATAAATTGGTTGGACCCAGTAATGGCCCCTTCCAACTCTACTACTCTATGTTTTCTCTTTGCTCAGAGACTTGAATGTAGTAATAAACATTTCTGGCAAAAAAAAACACTGGTGAGAGCAATGCTACTTGTAGGGTAGAAGCACAGCCCACAATATTTACCACAATTATTCTATTTATATTTAACTATTATATTGTCTTCCGTAGTTTTTCTTATGACTTTTCCATTTATCTTTTTTGTCACAGTATGTAGAAGGTGAAGAGGAACAAGACTTTGCATCAGAATTCCAGGCTATATTGAAAGATATGGAAGAATATCTGAAACCTGTATTGTTGCACTTCAATTTCTCTGAGCTAAGGTGATTTATTAAATTTAATATTCTCTAAATTATATTAAATTGTTCTTTTATATATGTACCTGTTATGCCCTTAACCCTAATAAGAATAAGTGACTGTGACTAGTTCAGGTCTGGATTAACAAGAAAAGTAAATAAAATACAGCACAGTCCTCAAATACAAGCAAGTGCTTCAAAAATTACGGTTGAATATTAATAATAAAAATCTTAAATTATACTCCTAATTTGCTGAAGAAGGCAAAAAGAGCAAAGTATATTTGGAGGGAGCAATCTGTGTAGGTACAAGCTGCTCAGAAAAATGACTCTCCCTTCCTCCCAAACCCCCACATTTTTTAAGGCAACTGAGTCTTGTCGCATCTTAAAGGCTGAATTCGTTTATTGGACCCAAAAGAGAATCATAAAATAGAAGAGTTGGAAGGGGCCATGAAGGCCGAGTCCAACCCCCTGCTGTTTCAGGACACCATGTTACACCATCCCACTCAGAAGGCTATCCAGTGTGAGAGCGCCCACCGCCTCTCAGCTGGTTCCACTGTTGTATTGCTCTGACAATAAGGAAGCTTTTCCTGATGTCCACCTGAATCCCTGAATCTGGATTGCCACAACTTGAACTGATTATTCTGTGTCTTAAATTCTGGCATTAGCAAGAAGAGGGAGACAGCATACTTGGCGATTCTCTGGGTCATCATGACATACATATTTTTCCATTCCATACAAGAGGGAATCTCTCACAACTAGCACTCTTCTCCTTTTGTTGCAAATTTTTCTATCCTTTTCCTTGTTTGATTGGCCTTTTGTCACTGAAAAAGAGTTATTCACTGTGTTGTGTATTTCTTTTACAGTGGGTTTCTCACACGTCTCTTCCTCAAGCAACTCGAAGCGGTTCAAGAGTTGCACTGCTTCCACAAGTGCAGAGTGTTTTCTAGGTCTTCTGCGTCTGTTACCCTGTTCCAGCAAGTTTTCTCATTTTCCCTTCTCTTGGGGTTCTTTTCTGCTGCCTTGACTTGCTATTGCTTTTCTTCCTTCCTGACTACACTTACATGTTGCAGCTCCCCCACTCTGTCTAGAAACTCTTCATTTTCTTTTATTGTCCAGAGGGTGGACACTCGCTGCTCCAGTGCTCTCACTTTTTCCTGTAATAAGGGTACAAGTGTGCAGCTGTTAGTCTTCTTGGTGCATTGCTTGTGCCACTGCCATGCAGCGGGGGATTTAAGGTGAAAATAAGGAAGAGAAGCAAAACAGAGAAAAGAAATGTTAGGGTCCTCCCCCAGTGAACTCCTGTTGGCTTTCCCTGTTTGCTCGCTCTGGTTGCTGGTTCCTTGGGAGCTTGGCTGCTTGTATCCCAGAGGCCCTAGACCAGCTGGGGCAGCTTGCTCTGATGTGCTCTGCTTCGAAAATCCATGTCGTTTCTAGGTTGCTCCTAAGCCCTAAAGACAAAAGTGATTTTCAGAGTACCCCTAACGATAGTTAAATCTTCCTTTTATGCCACTTTTTGGCCAAAGCTTCTCAATGGAGTGCCCAAATATTAAAACAAAAATAAAACAATGGAAAGTATATATGCTGGTAATCAAACCTTTAGCACTGTAATAATAACAACTCAAAAGTAACAGAACTAACACACATCAAGGAACAAGGGAAGCATTCTTGGTCACAAATAGCTCAACACAAAATAGAAGAGAGAGTGGGGAAGAAAATACACCTTATGAGGAAGGGAATTCCAGATCTAGAGAAGAGTCCTGGGTACCAACCTAAGTTCAGATGAAACTTGGAACAGAACCTTCATCAAAAAAGGTTAAAAAAATCTCAGAAAGTAGGCAGCATCATATATAAGCCAGTAATCCTTCAGATTTATTGATTTATTCATCTATACCCACACTCTTTAAGTCTTTGAAGATGATAACCAGCACTTTGACATGGGCTCAGAAATCAATGTTGTTTTTATATGCCATATGAATGAAAGCCCTTCAAAATATCCTGTCTGTGCAAGCTTCATTCAGCATTTCCAAGTTCAAGGCTGTGGTTTCATTTTTGGATTTAATCCAGCTTATATATGGCCTTCCCTTTCATCTTCTGCTTTTGATTTTCCCTAACATGATTGTCTTTCTCCAGTGAGTCTTGCTTTCTCTTGATGAGTCTATAGTATGACAGCCTCGGTTTTGTCATTTTTGCTTCTAAAGAAAGCTCTGGCTTGATTTGCTCTAGCACCCACTTGTTTCTCTTTCTGTTGGTCCATGGCATTCACAAAGCTCCCCTCCAGAACCATTTTGCAAGTGCATCCATTTTCTTCCTTCCACCAGTCCCATGTTTTGAATGCATCCCTTTTCTTCCCAACAGCTTTCTTCACTGCCCAGCTTTCACACCCATGGAGTGTGATTGGGAATGCAATAGTTTGGATGATCTTCACCTTAGTGTCTAGGAAAACAACAGCCTCCAAATAGCCAGCAGCATTCTGAACTGATTGTGATTTCTGAACATTTCTCAAACACATCCCAGCACAGAGAATAATGCCAGCAAAATGGGCAGGCCAGAAAACTATGAAGTAGGCAAAAAGGATTTTTTATTCAACCAAAATGAATAATAATGCTTGCTCTTCTAACATTATTCTCCTGTGCTGTACTACAGGAGACTGGCCTTTAAAGAGCAAGCATTACTTGATTGAAACACCTGAAGAAAGACCTATAATATGGTCAAAATATGCTGGAACTATAAATTTTTTGTTGAATACATTGTCTTAATCAACTCTGTTATTTTTGTCTGTTTTTTATTCTTTCGGATTTGGATCTTTTTGGCATGACCAAAGCTTTCTGAAACACCGACCTGAGCTTCTCCCCCAGGAAGAGGCATCTTGATGAAGAAAACTTGCCCTTCTTGATTTGAAGTACACTGGCACTTTAAAGCCATAAAAATACTAATTTTTAAAACTTCTGGGAAAAATTCCCACCTATGAAAAAGTATTATTTTCCAGTATGGGTTTCATGGCCATTTCCTGATGGCTTCAATACCAATTTTTAGCTTTAGTCACCATGCCCAGTTGAGATCAGCAAACGGAATCACTTGCCACAGAATTTCAGCTATACAGAATGCCCTTTCACTCACAGCCTCAGAAACATTTCTGGTATCTTAATCAAAGAAAGTGATAAAGGAAAAGTTTTCATAAACAAACTGAGACTATAAACAGGAAGCTAAGACGCAACTTGCCAATAGATTTTCCAGGCAGTACAAGAAAGAACTGTGTAACTAAATGAAAAAATTTCTGTTTTATTTTACAATTTACATCCTGAAACCTATGGCCCAATTTAGGACTCTCTGGGCAGTGTACGTTGCATTAAAAATAAATTATACAATAAAAGAGTTCATGAAATATGACAGTTACAAGTGGAATAAGTATAGTTGTTTAAATTTAATTAAGAATTCATAATAATATGAACAATATAAAATATAAATGTTAAAATGTTAATTTTAAAATACCTAGAAAATAGGGCAATCTTCACCTGGTGCCAGAACACTACTAATGAAGGTGCTAGGTGAATTTCTTTGGGGAGCCCATTCCAGAGGTGAGGCCCAACCACTGAGAAGGCCCTTCTTCTGTTTATCATCCCCTCACTTCTTTGGGGGATGGTTCTTTAAGAAAAGCCTCCAACTGAGATCTTAAACAGCAGGTATGTATATATGGGGAAAGGGGGTCGTTCAGATATTCTCGTCCCAAGCTGTTTAGTGCTTTATATGTTAAAACAAGCACTTTAAATGGGCCTGGACTACAACTGGTAGCTAATGTAGGTGGTACAAGATTGGCATAATGTGAGTGCATGGGCTAGCTTTTGTTAACAGCTGCACAGTCCTATTTTGAACCAGCTGAAGTTTCTGGACCACCTTCAAATGCATCCCCACGTAGAGAGTGATACAAATCTGTACAGACACACTCCAAGAGACTTGCCCGTTCTTCTACTACCTGTGAACATACAGATAACAGACAATGCTGCACATCTCATTGTTTTGGACATTGATGCTATCACACTACCATATCCTTCCTATATACTACCAATAGCCATATTTGAAACTGCTCATCAGTGCTACCAGTAGTGCTCATGGGGAGGGGGGTGGCAAAATAGAGGAAAGCAAGTAACTTTTAAGGGGATGTGTTTATTCCTTTGTAGCTCTCACTTTTACATGTGGGACTAGACATAACCCTTTATAAAGCATGGAGATTGTTGAGGCTGACATTGATGTGAAGTTCAGTGCAAATTTATGTGAGACGTAAGTAAAACTAGAAGTTTCTCTACATGACAAAGCCACATTGGTACTGTTTCTACTTCTACAGAGAACATGAAGTATCTGATTCTGTTCTGCATAATATTTTGAAGATCTGTTTTTGGTCTCTTTAGGCACCAGAGTCCAGCAGTCTCTCCAGCAGATTCAGGAAAAAACAAAGGTGACTCTGGAAAAACCAGGAAAGGTAGTCCAGGAAAAACTAAAGCAAATGATTCTGAAAAAAGTAAAGGAAATGAAGCAGTGAAAACAAAAACTAAAAATAAGGAGAAAAACATTACAAGTCAAGGTATGCCTTAAGCTTTAAAGGATATATGTGGTGTTGAATTAAAAACAACAACATTGGTTGTTGAATAGTTTGTTATGAAAGTACAGATTTGGTACTATCTGTGGTTGCATTCTGATATAATGGCAAATTATGGTTTGCTACTATGAGCATGAGTGGCCTCAAGCCTATAAAGTCTCTCCCCTTTCACTTTCCTCTGTGCATGTAAGAGAATAGAAGCATGCATTCATTGTTTGGACTGTATCATTTGCTATGACGTCTGGTTAAAATGGCAGCATAGTTGGTTACGTTGTGGCTTGCTCCTGCAACCTCTATCTCAGTATTCTAATAATTGCTTTTTTTTCTCACTTGTGGGGAAATCATTCTCTCCATCTTTGCCAATGGCATGCTTTTGTTTGACCTGATGGCAACAACAAGGGCTATATAAAGAAAAATAATGCTAACTTTCTTCCTTCTGCTACTGGGTCAGTGATGACTTTGCCTGAAGACTCTAAGGAAAATGTTATGATTACTCAGAATTATTGCTGGAGATTTAAAGATTAACAGCATCTCTATGAAAATGGTACAAGAATTGATGGTATAACAGTGAGGATGGATGTTTTGGCAACTGAAGTTTCACAGTGTGCTTATAAATCTGAGATTTATGAAACTCTATTGTCTGCTTTGCAGAGATCTAAGCTTAATGAGCTAGAAAGTCAATCTCTGTTGAAATTTACAAATTGAATATGTGAGCAGGCTGAGCATGGTTAACCAACTGTCCTTAAGGAGTCCTTTTACATGAGTTATTGGATCTGCCTGAAGCATGTTACTTAGATATTGAAGTGGCACAATGAATTTCGACTCCACTCTCCCAAGTTGAAGAGAGCCCTCATCCATTAGTAGCTATGTTTTCAATGTTTCTGTTAAGGAGTTTAAGAGCTGTGAGAAGCAAGGGAAATTTAGATTATGATTTCTTTGGATCATACTAAGGTAGTAGGAGATAAGTGGAATGCATGCTCTAAATCTTGAGAATAGGCTTCTAAAAAGAATCTTCTGCATTTTATTTGTTTTCTGAAAATTTTCATTTCACCAGCAGTGGCAGATTATCTTTGTGGCATGACTCCAATTGAGAGAGCCAAGACCATATACAGCTTTTGAAAGTTTCGTCTTTTGTATGTGTCTATTTCATTGTGGAATTCTTTTCCAGTACAACTATTACTCTACTACTGACTTAATTTGAGATACTTATATTTCAGACCTGGAATGTCATATATATGTATACATACATTGTATGCAAATATTTATACATCAGGCGCAGAGGATATAAAGCATGCCTGGCTTAATCTACTTGTTTGTTGGCAAGGGAAGCAGGGGGTGGTGCATGGATTGTACTCTCAGGTTATGGTGTGAATTGGTCAAAATCTGAATTAAAGCCTGTAGATTTAATATCAAGGCACCAAGGTATTTACTAATGGGTTTGGATTGCTTTTTTGGGGGGTGGGTTGGGCAGGGGGAGGGAACCAGAAGTGATTAAAAATCTTGGTGCATTGGTGCCTGCAGATATTTCTCACATACTTAAAATGAACAGAATTATATTACTTTAGGATTTTTTTCTTAAACTCTGGAGCTAGGAACTGGACATGGCACTCGAGGTGAGGCCTAACTAGTGCTGAGTAAAGGAGAACTAGTACCTTACATGATTTGAAAATGATAGTTCTATTTGTTGTTGTTGTTAGTTGCGAAGTCACATCTGACCCATCACGACCCCATGGACAACATTCCTCCAGGCCTTCCTGTCCTCCAGCATCCCTCAGAGCCCATTTAAGCTCAAGCCAACTGCTTCAGTGACTCCATCTAGCCACCCTCATTCTCTGCCGTCCCCTTCTTCTTTTGCCATCTATTGTTCCCAGCATTAGGCTCTTCTCCAGGGAGTCCTTCCTTCTCATTAGGTGGCCTCATTTGTATTTGAGTTTCATCTTCAATATCTGGCCTTCTAAAGAGCAGTCAGGGTTGATCTCCTCTAAGACCAACCGGTTTGATCTCCTTGCAGTCCAAGGGACTCGGAGGAGTCTCCTCCAGCACCACAATTCAAAGGCCTCAATTCTTAGGCGCTTAGCCTTCCTTATGGTCCAACTTTCACAGACATACATTGCAACTGGGAAAACCATAGCCTTGACTATACGCACTTTTGTCAGCAGGGTGATGTCTCTGCTTTTTAGTATGCTGTCTAGATTTGCCATAGCTTTCCTCCCAAGGAGCAAGCGTCTTTTAATTTCTTGGCTGCAGTCACCATCTGCGGTGATCTTGGAGCCCAGGAAAAGAAAATCTGTCACTACCTCCATTCTTCCTCATCTATTTTAAAGGAAGTGATGGGACCAGATGCCATGATCTTAGTTTTCTTAATGTAGAGTTTGCAGCCAACTTTAGCAGTCTCCTCTTTCACCCACATCAAGAGGCTCTTTAGTTCCTCTTCACTTTCTGCCATTAGAGTGGTATCATTTGCATATCTGAAGTTGTTGATATTTCTCCTGGCAATCTTAATTCCAACTTGTGATTCATCTAGCCCTGCCTTCCACATTATGTGCTCTGTATATAAGTTAAATAGGCAAGGCAAGATACTTCTTTTAATGCATCTTAAAATAGCATTTGCCTTTTTCACAGCCACATCACATTGTTGATGCATGTTCAGCTTGTGATCTGCAAACATATAAACAGTGCAAGTCAGAATGGCCCTCCCAGGCCATCCAGTCTGACCCTCAGTTACAGCCAGCTCCGCTCATGACATACCTGCCATGTGTATGTCCAGTCTATCCTTGAACACCCTCACCGATGGGTCTTCAACCATGTCCTGTGGACTTCTGGTTTGGCGCTGTGGCTGCATGGCTGTGAATAGCAGGAGCTCCCACTATCACGCCGGTATTTGTTCAACAGAGAGCCGTGGGAGGCTCATCTAAGCCCTGTCGGAGTGAAGATTAGATTGTCCGGGCACTCCACTATTTGTGCGGGGCGGTGGCTCTGCATTTATTGAAAGAGATTCGGGCTTTTCTCTATCGAACAACACAGGGGAGAGATAACAGCTCCCTACAAGCCATTGACATCCGGAAAGTAGCACAGAATAATTAGCTGAAAGTTCATTGGACCTGCTGGGTGAGCATTTTTATCTTTTTTTTCTTCTATATTACCCGTGAAAGAGCAGCAACAGCTTCTAATTTGGCATAAAGAAGAAAGGGGAAGCCCTTTGATGGAGGGAGGAATTCTTCCTCCCCTCATGGAGTTTTAAGTGGCGACTGATCTGGGGGAGAGGAACTGAGGCTCTTTTGGAAAGTTTTGGGCTGGAGAGAAAGACCTTTTTTTCCTAACCTCCCCAAGGGCGAAGAATCAGAATAAATAATTACTGTGGAATAACATGATAGAAGATAAAGTTTACTGTGATCGGCCATGTTTCTTTCTTTTTCCTGGACTCTTGCCAAAAACAATTGGATTCTTGCCAAAAGCAACCTCCTTGAACTATCACCTTGCTTTGTTTGCGATGCCATTTTTTTATTTTTATTTTTTTTGCCATTTAAAGAAAAATAGCCCTTTGCTGCCACCCTGTGGCTATCTGGATTTATAGCAAGTATGTTTATTCTCTTCTCTATTTCTTTGTTGCTGTCTTGTAATTTTTGGTATAAATTATTACCACTATGGAAAAGGCATCTACATCAGCTCTTCAGAGTCCAGCCTATCAGCCCAAAGCAGCAGATGTTGGGAAATATCAAAAAGAGCTACAGATGACACTTCTGGCGATACAGATATCCTTAACAGCTTTGCAAACATCCCAAGAGGCAATGTTAATACAACAGGAAAACATTTCAATTGAACAAAGAGAACATCTTGACAAACTGGATAATTCTATTAAGGAGGTTTTGGTGGACATCCAATTTAAAACTGAACAGAATATACAAAAATACAATAAGCATATGGAAAACTTGAAACGGTGGATAAAGAAATACAATTAATAAAGCCAATAAACATGTTATCATGGGATTTGCTTGTTATACTAGAGAGGGAGAAAGTATCCAAATATTTGAGAGAGACTATGTTTAGGTGGCTATCGACAGAAGGAACATCTCTTACCTGGAACATTACAAGGTACAAACTGGACTTGATCTTAAGGCACAAGAGTTGTATGAAAAATTTAGAAGTATGTCTGAAGAGGAAAAATTGAGTGCCTCAATAGATGCCGAATTAACTGCATATCATTTTGAGGAAGGAGAAATAGTGAATACTGATTTGCAACAAGAACTACAGACACTGGAAATGGATACTGATTTACAAAAAGCACTACAGATACTGAAAACAAAGGAAGAGAGATGGGGCAGGGGTGTAAAGAAGAAATAAGAGAATTTTCTGTTTTAAAAGGAATGATTTAAATGGATTGTCATGTTTATATGTGGTATGAGAAGGCTAAGTTATATTATTCTTTTTTTGAGTTACTATACTAGAAAATCATTAATGCTGGTGTAGGAAAAGTTATACTAAGATGGTTTCTTCACCCATGGAAGCTTCTTTGTATCCAAATGCATTGAATTTTGAAGGGATTATAAGATATGATGTACATTTTGGATAAAGATGGAGGATTGAAATTGAGCTAAGAAATACAAGAACAGGGGGCAGATATCTTTTGGGGACATAAGGTGCAGATACAATTGAGATATGTTAAAGATTGTAAAGAGTGGGGCTTTTATAGGGAGTTAATAGTATTTGACTAAGTGATGCTTAAATTAGATGAAATATTAGCAACCTCGTATAAAGAAAGCTTGTATAAAATGTGTTATAGGTGGTAGCTGTCACCAAATAGATTAGCCAAGATGTTTTTAAAGATGTCAAATGGATGTTGGATAAATTGGGTATTTTTTATTATATATGGTGGAGGAAGTGGTATAAAAATCCTTAGTTTCTTAAACTTGAAATTTCTTTTTTATTAGGCATTGTACTGGGACATTAATAAATAAGAAATGTATCTGATTTTACATGTAATCATTGTGGTGAGGAGTGTATTTGTTTAATACTGTAAAGATGAAGAATTACCCATCGATGAATTGATTAAAAGATCCTGGATTGTGCAGAAATGGTCAGACTGAAGTTATCATTTAAGGAGAAAGACGATACTGACTTCTATCAAACTTGGGAATTTTTTCTATTATTATTGGCTAGAGAAACGGGACTTTGCATAGACTTAAACATGTTTTTTTGGACTTGGCTTAGATTTAAATATGTTTTTAAGTTATCATAAATGGATTTGAATATGATTAAGGAATGTTAAAAAAAACATGAGTAGGGGGCTGACCCAGTACATCTGATGTATTTGATGATTGATGTTGTTAGTGTTAGTTTAAAAATTTTAATAACATTTATTAAAAAAAAAACCATGTCCTGTGGAAGCACATTCCATAGTGATTAAGTGATTAGGACTTTGGGTCCTAAGTGTCATGCAGTATTTCTTGGCATCCAAATTGAATTTGGGTTCCCTGAACGTTGCTCCATTGGAACACTTTCTGCCCTCCTCCACAGTGGGAAAAAAGGTCTCTACCAACCTCTGCATGACACCCCCTCACATACTTATATGTCGCTAACAGATCCCCATGGAGTCTCTTCTTCTCCAGGCTGAAAAGACCCAGTTCCCTCAGTCTTACCCCATACTGTTTCCCCTGCAATCTGGCCACCATCCTTGTGACCTGACGCTGCACCAATTCCAACCTGACTACATTCTTCTTGTAATGTGGAGCCAAAACTGAACACAATACTCCAGTTGCGGGCACACCAGAGTAGTATATAGTAGCAGTAATACCTCTCTCGATCTAGAAACATGCTCCTGGCTATGCAATCGATCCTCTTTACTGCCATGTAACACTGCTGACTCATGTTTAGCCTGCAATCAACCAGTACCCTGAGACCCCTTTCACAGGTGCTGCTCTCCAGCCACTTGTCCCCTAACCTGTACTTGTCCCCCAACCTGTGCTCCAGGTGCAAGAGCCTGCACTTATCTACATTGAACACCATCCTGTTTTCCCTGGCCCATTTCCAGTCTGTCCAGATCTTTCTGTATCCGGAGTACCTGTCCCTCCATTGTGGCCACTGTCCCCATTTTGTCTGCAAATTTGATCAGCAGACAGGTCACCCCCTCTTCCAGGTCACTGATGAAAAGATTGAACAGGATTGGTCCCAGGGCAGAGCTCTGGGAGACCCCTCTCATTACCAGCCACCATCCTAATGATTTCCCACTAATAGTTACCTTCTGCTTTTGGTCTGTCATCCATGCCCTAATCCATTGGACAGTGCATTGGTCTATCCCAAAAACTCTTCAATTTGTCAACCAGGATACCATGGGGCACTTTGTCAAAGGCCTTGCTGGAATCCAGATAACCCACATCAATAGCTTCCCCTTCATCTAGCCACCTCAAAACCTTGTCATAAAATTCCACAAGGTTTGTCTGACAGGACCTGTTTTTGTGGAAGCCGTGTTGTGTGGCTGCCAACCTCCCTTCCCTATCTAGGTTTACTAGATCTCTCCCTGTTATGAGCCTTTCCATTGTCTTTCCTAGAATATATCTACAGCTCCACCCTGTAATTCCCCATGTCCCTTCTACCACTCTTTTTGAAAATTGGGACCACTGATGCCACCCTCCAGCCCTCTGGAACCTCACCCCTTCTCCACCTCAAAAATGGAGGTCAACGGGGGCAAGAGTACCCCTGCCAACTCCTGAAGTACCCCTGAGTGTAACCCGTCAGGCCCTGGTGCCTTTGTAATGTCCAGTGTCTTGAGGAGCTCCTCGACTTCTGAGGGGGTGACTCTAATCTGTGCCCCTAAATCCCCAGCCTAATCCAGTCCCCATGTGGATCTCCCCCATCCTGAGAGTGTCTTCAAGTTCTGCTTCTGCCACTGTTTTCCAGGGATTTTGCTCCTCATTTTCCCTTACCTCAGGATTTCCTCTTCTGCCTCAGTTTGCTGTTGTACTTCTAATTTCTGTACTACTCTTAGCTGTTGCAATTCTACAGTTCTGTCTAAAAACTTTGCATCTTCTTTTATTCCCTGAGGTTGAACATTAGCTGCTTTAGTGTTCTCACCTTCTCTTCTAACAGGGCTACTAGCTTGCATTTGTTACATATGTAGGCCATGCCAACCTCAAGCAGGCAAACAAACATTGCACAGACATTGTATGTCACCACCTCTGTGGAGTCTTCTCAGTCCATTCTTTCTGCTACCTTTTTGATGCTATCTTGCTGGACCTGTTGTAACAAACATGTTTTCCCTAAAGGTTAATAACACAGTCCTACTACTTGGTATAAGTTTAACATGCTTGGTATAAGTTTAACATGCTTAAGACGAATGTCTTGCAGCAGAGAATTTATGTACTGTGTAGCATTCCTGTAGAGATTCCCAAAACATTTTCAGAAACTTTGTGCAGCATTTCATAAGTCCTATTTTGGGAGTGTATCCTGGCTCCTCCTGGGAGAAGTAGGCAAACATAGCACAGGTGCTACAGTAACTGCAGCACTTGCCACTTCAGCCATGGCCCTCTCCTGGTTTGGCATAGCCCACCCCTCCCAGGTAGCCTTATGTCTATTTACTTCCCACTTGTCCTGCCTATGCTACTCCAGCTTGAGACTGGGTACCCTTTTCCTTCAGGGAAAACAAATACTCTGGGAAGAGAGCCCTCAGGTAACCTGGGCCACTGCTAAGGGAAGCAAACAAGGGACAACACACTTGTCCCATTGCCCTTAGCATGCCCCTTGGTGCCACCAACAGCTGCTCCGGCCCTAAAATAGGCCTTGTGAGCTCCGAGTCCCACCCCCTCACCTCACAAGAGTCACTCACCTGTCCCAGGTTGCTGCATCTTTCTTCCATGCACACATACACTCCCTCGGTTTCTCTGGCCCAACTCTCAGCCCTGCTGCCCCTCCTGTGCTGCCACCGCCACCAAGATCCAAAAAGTCCAAAATCAGTGGAAAGTCATTCTAGCTTTTCTGCATAGTATGTCTGTAGATTTAAAACTGAGGATGATTGAACACAAAAGAACATTTTGGTTCTGTTGGACACCACAGAGGTTTGGTATGGAGAAGCTGGATATCCTCATAACATGTCAGCATCCAGGGTGAGTGGGTGACTATCAGGCAGGAGCACCATGGCCCAGGCAACCAGGGTGCAGCACAAGGGTCAGTCTGAAGGCACAGTTAAACAGTCCAAAGGTCAGAGCAAGGAGTTGATGCACAAGGCAGAGTCTGTTCACAAAGCAAGTATGGTCAGACAAGCTGGGAGCCAGGGAACCAAGAAGACAAGTCAAGGAAGACAGGTACCTTGAGGGCTGGAGCAAGGCAGGCCCTCAAGGCAGAGTTTCAGGAGCAAAGTCCAAGACTCCACAAACCAGCTGCACTCTAGCAACTCAGGAAACCTTTATTGTCAAGGCAGCTTCTGAGGGGAAGAGCCAATTCTTATATAGCTCTTCCCCTAGGACTCCCAGGTGGAGCTCATGAGATCCCTGGCAGCTGTAGTAGATCGTCCTGTAGTATTTAGTGAGAAGGAAGGACTCACTAGAGAAGAGCCTAATGCTGGGAACAATTGATGGGAAAAGAAGAAGGGGATGGCAGAGAATGATGTGGCTAGATGGAGTCACTGAAGCAGTCGCTGTGAGCTTTAGTGGACTTCAGGAGATGGTAGAGGACAGGAAGGCCTGGAGGAATGTTGTCCAAGAGCTTGGGATGGGTCGGACACGACTTCGCAACTAGCAACAACAAATTTAATCCTCTAACTAAAAGGGCTGCTGTACTGGTTCTTGACCAGCAGAGGGAGCTCTGAAACTGTTGCAGGTTTTGACAAGCTGGCATATGCTGGCAATGTAAGAAGAATGCCTCATGGAGGTGTAAGATGTGGGCATGTCCTGTAGTGCCTTCCTTTTAATTGGAAGACATTGCTCATATTAATTTAATTTTTGAAAGGTCTGTGATAATAGTGGATGTGCATATGCCTTTAAATCATTTTGCTGTGATGTGGGGGTTAACATATGAGTAGGAAAACTGGATACCTTGGTGCTCATGCAGTTGTACTGAGATTTTTGCTTCAGGCTTGGAAAAATAAACACTCATTACTTATCATTCAAAGAACATTTCACTGCTTTTGCTACATTTGAACATCTCTTAAAGCTTTCAGTTTTATATGGAATATTATATTGACCACTTACATTACTGTATATATTTGAAATGGAAGTGTTAATTCCTTCCTTTTCCCTCTTTTCTTTTTATATTAAGGATGATACAAATGGTCATTAAGCATGGATATATTTTCTGATTTTTCTTCTTTTCCTCCTCTCTTTTGTGTTTTTAATTGCTTGTTTATTATGTTGTATTTGCTAATAGAAATATATTAAAAAAGCCATCATTTACCATTTGTCCAAATCCAGCAAAAAGCCTGCTTCCATTTAAAGACAGCCTATAGATAATTTTAAATAAATCAATAAGGTTTGTACAAACCATAGTTTCCCCACAATTCATGATTCCAAATCATGGTTTAAACTTATTTTGTGGGCAAACTACAGTTTTGCCTCAGACAAAAGCTGCTTATTTGCTCCATCTGTAAGAAATGGAAGAAGGAGCATGCAAGTTCAAGACTCATACCTATTTGTGCTTGTAATGGCAAAGAACCATTTTCTGTTACTTTTGAATGCAGCCTCAGTGTTTAGGTCAGAAAAGAAATGCAGGCTCAAGGTTGACAATGGGTCTCACCAAGCCAAAGAACCTTGTATCCTGAATGATTCATACACCTCCAGAGTCTTCTCAAACACTCCAAAAATGGGTTTCTATTTGCCTCCATATAAGTTTATGTTAGGGTTTAGTTTATCTGAACAAGAGGAAGAGTGTTTCCCATGCAGCATTGCTTATATTGTTATTATTTTTCCTTTGAATTACTGATCTGCCTCATTTTTCAGCTAATCCTGAAGATATAGGAGAATGTGTGATACTACTGGTGGACAAAATTCTTATGGACTTACCTTTGGAAGCACTGAATATTTTTCAAGAAGAAGCAATAAGTTCTGTGTCCAGAGACTTTTCTCTCCAAGTTTTATATAACCGCTTACATAAAGAAGAAGCAGGTATATCTATGTGGAATATACATTTGAAAATATAATCAAGGTATTGTTTTGAAAATACAATTAAACATACTGGACATTATCCAATTTTAAAACATTTAAGATCTTAATTAGTCTTGATTCTGGTAAACTAAGGTTGCTTCTAAGGGATGCAGTGGCACAGTGGGTTAAACTGCTGAGCTGCTGGGCTGGTTGATCGAAAGGTCGACAGTTCAAATCCACACACAGGGTGAGCTCCCGTGCTTTGTCCCAGCTCCTGCCAACCTTGCAGTTTGAAAGTATATTAATGCAAGTAGATAAAAAGGTACCACTTCGGTGGGAAGGTAACAGCATTCCATGCACTTCTGTGTTTAGTCATACTGGCCACATGACCACGGAGACTGTCTGCAGACAAACGCTGGCTCCCTCAGCTAGGAAACGTAGATGAACACTGACCCCTAGAGTCAGACATGACTGGACTTTAATGTCATGGGGAAACCTTTACCTTTAATTTTACCTTTAAGGTTGCTTATATGTAACTGACATTCTTCGAGTGGTCATCTGTGCATTCACACAAATGGGTACTGTGCCAGTGCAGTGCCTGTTGTCAGCAAGATTTTCCTAGCTCAGCTAAAGTTTTGGCAGGAGCCCTGTCCCCTCTCCCTCTAGTATAAATAGGAGAGGCTCCTACCATTTTCCCTAGTTCAAATGAGACCAACATTTTGGGCTCAGAACCAGGGATCAGACCAGGAAGTGACCCAATCTGTACTGAGGACAGTACTGCATTGTGGAAGGGAGATTATAGACACTGATGTAAGGCCAGTGGATGGGTTGTATGACCTTACATTAGCCACAACTCGTCCAAGCTTATATATATATTTGCTTGGACTGACTGTGAGTTGTTTTTTTCTAAACTAAAACCTCAGTATTCAAGTTTTATTGCAGTGTTGGCACTTTATGATAAATAAGTAGGTTTTGGGTTGCAGCTTGGGCACTTGGTGTCTAAAAGGTTTGCCATCATTGCTCTAGGTGGTTAAGTGGGACCCAAGCTTGTCCTCCTTGCTGTCACTCTGGCCTTCTGAATGGTGTCGAACTTCTCATTGATCCATGCACTGAAGAGCCATTTGCTATGAAAGGGCATTTCCTCAATATGGAACCATGACTCCTGTGAGAGGCTCACTGCACCAATTGCCACTGCACCAATGAGGGCCCAAGAGTCACAGTCAATGTGGAGGCATACAGTATTTATTTAGGGTTAGGGTTACAGTTCTAGAAGCTGAAGGAAAATAGAGAACTAGAAGACTCAAAGCATCCAGAGTGGCAGTTGGAAAGCAACTGGGAAAAATGGCTGGAGCACCTCCTATTTATATTAGAGGGAGAAGGGGCAAGGTTCCCACCAAAACTTTTGCTTAGCAAAGAAGAGCCAGCTCCAGCGGCCAGCGCAGGCGCACGCGGCGCTGGAGCGCGTTGCCCACCACCCCAGGTGATCGGGCGTGCGCGGTGCGCGACGGGGCGGGACTCGGAGGCACCCTGCGGCCACAAAGCAGCGGCCGCGGCCAGGAGGGAACGGCCCCTCGGGCAGGAAACACCGATCCCGCGCTGCAAGAAAGACTTCCGCCCACCTCCAGCAGCACACCGCTACATCGCGCTGGAGGAAAGAGCCGCCGCCGCGTGCAAGCAGATGCAAGCAGACGCACGCTGCCATGACGTCGATGGAAGCCAGCTCCAGTGGCCAGCGCAGGCGCACGTGGCGCTGGAGCGCGTTGCCCGCCGCCCCAGGTGATCGGGCGCGCGCGGTGCACGACGGGGCGGGACTCGGAGGCGCCCTGCGGCCACAAAGCAGTGGCTGTGGCCTCGGGCCGGTGGCCGAAGGGTGGCGGCCAAAGGGGTCGCCACCCTTTAGGAGCCATTCGGGGGACGAGAGGGGGGCTGGGCTGGCCAAGGACTTTTGTTGAAATAGGCTTGCCTACCGCTGAATCTTAGGGAAGGGGAAGGATTTTTTTTCTCTTCTTCTTTTTATCTTTCTTTTTCTCCTCTTTCGAACTGCTTTATAATTTTACCCTGCTTTAATCAGTGCTTTTGAGTCATCCCTGGCCATGTCGACGTTTATATATCCTGGGGAACACACGGGCGCTGCCATTGGCGTGGTCACGGGCAATGGTCGTTACAGCAATAGGGGCTTAACGTGTCCACATAGAAGAAGGATGGACAGATGGCTGACACCTATCCCTCCTTCTGGTTCTGCCCCCTATAAGAGTGCGGACCCGATTGTATGGGCCCACCCCCGGAGCCGGATGGATCCGGATGGATTCCTGAAGGCCCTGGGGGAGTTTCCGGCTGACAAGACTGGTGCTCCTGTCGAGGCTCTGGTCGAACTGTGGAATGGAGAGATGACCAGGGCTGTGGACACGATCGCTCCTAAGCGTCCTCTCCCACCGGGCAGAGTCCGCTCTTCCCCTTGGTATACACCTGAATTGCGGGCGATGAAGTGGGTTGGGAGGCAACTAGAGCGTAGGTGGAGGAAATCACGGGATGAATCTGACCGAACACACTTGAGAGCCCACTATCGGGCCTATGTTGTGGCGGTGAAGGCGGCGAAAAAGAAGTTTTTTTCCACTTCCATTGCCTCCTCACAATGCCACCCGGCGGAGCTTTTTCGAGTGGTACAAGGCCTGGTTCGCCCGGGTCCTAAGGAAGATCCGATGCCACCCTCAAAGGCCCGCTGTGATGACTTTGCCAGGCATTTCAGGGAGAAAATCGCTCAGATTCGTCACGAGCTGGACTCCACTAATGAATCAGAGGTTTCTGGGGAGACGCCAATGCTACCGTCTGCTCCAAAATTATTGGCGGAATTTCAATTATTGCGGCCTGATGATGTGGACAAGGTGCTTGGACGAGTACGTCCCACCACTTGCCTATTGGATCCTTGCCCGTCTTGGTTAATAAATAACTCCAAGCACGGGATTGGGACCTGGATCTTGGAAGTGGTTAACGCTTCTCTGAGGGATGGTCGAGTGCCTGTCCCTTTAAAGGAGACGGTAATACGACCGGTCCTGAAGAAAGCATCACTGGATCCAGAGATGGCCACTAACTATAGACCAGTGGCCAACATCCCGTTTCTGGGCAAGGTGTTGGAGCGAGTGGTGGCGGGACAACTCCAAGCACTCTTGGATGAAACTGATTATCTGGATCCTTTTCAGTCCGGCTTCAGACCCGGGTAAGGTACTGAATCTGCCTTGGTCGCCCTGTATGATGACCTGTGCAGGGAGAAGGACAGGGGGAGTGCACCCCTGTTGGTTCTTCTGGACCTCTCGGCGGCTTTCGTGGGGCTTCCCCTGAAGACGGTCCGAACACTTCAATTGGTGCAAAATAGAGCTGCCAGGTTGCTGACGGTGATGGGGCGTTATGCTCACATGACTCCAGTCCTCCGTCAGCTTCACTGGCTTCCCATTGAAGCCCAGGCCCAATTCAAGGTGTTGGTTATGACCTATAAAGCCCTAAACGGCTTGGGTCCTGGCTACCTGAACGAGCGCTTATGTCCATATATGCCCGACTGCCCCTTGAGATCTGCGGGAGAGTCCCTTCTCCGGGAACCCTCCATGAAAGAAATTAGGAGAGTAAGTACTCGGAGGAGGGCTTTCTCTGCGGTGGCGCCCAACCTGTGGAATTCACTCCCCAAAGAGTTCCACCTGGCACCGTCGTTACTGGTTTTTCGGCGCCAGGTAAAGACCTTTTTATTTAAACATCATTTTAATTGTTAAAACATATGATCTGGCCAGGGCAACTTCTGCTTCCTTCTCTTTTCTCCTCCTATATTCTTTATTTACTTATTTTATACTGTTAATTTTAATTTTATATTATTATGTTTGTATCTCAGTGTATTTTTTGTATTTAGTGGTTAATTTATTATGTTCTATTGTATTTCAATGTATTTTATTGTGTTGTAAGCTGCCCCGAGGCTTCGGCAAGGGGCGGCATAGAAATGTAATAATAATAATAATAATAATAATAATAATAATAATAATAATAATAATATTTTCCTTACAATGGGCACCACACAGGCAGAGAGCTCATATGTGTGATGCACAGAGACCATGAAGAACTTCTATGTTTCTGTCATGTCATGAGCAGAGCTGGCTAGAGCTGGGGGTCAGAGTAGATGGCCTGGAAGACCCTGTCTGACTCACTCCATTTCTATGTTTCTAACTTCAGTTTGTCACTTTGGGCATAACAGGGAACAATGATTAATTAATGCAAGAAATCTTCCATTACAGCATATAAAGAAAGGGGGAAAGGTTTTGAGGTGCTGAAAGAGAACATACAAGTTCAAGAGTGATGTTCATTTTGTCTTAATATGTGGAGTTCTATTATATTTGAACCAGGACAATTTGGGAGCAGTAGAATAGGACAGTTAGTCTGGGAAGTAGGATGCCATATGAAAAATATCCAAAGAAGTGACAGAGGTTTTGTCTGCAGATTACAGTGTGTTCAGATTCACCAAGGCCAAGCATATAGCACAGCCATGCTGATGAAAATGGTGCCCAGCAGTCTAGGCACCTTTTCAGATTCTAGGGTCAAGAGAGCAAACTTAAGCCCAGATTTGCATCAAGACTTAGAAGAGTATGAGGATACCTCTGTGAAGCAAAGTTAGTGAACAAGGCAACAATATTGTTATTTCACTTGTTTTTATATTGAATCATTAATTGCAAATTAGTTATTAGCATTAGCTGAAAGTTGTTGATGTACAAGGATGAAAGTCATGTTTTATCCCTGTAAGTACAAAATTTATTGCTGACAATTAAATTACAGTGAGTCACAATTTCATCTGTTACATAAAGTCGAAATATTGAATATAATTGACTAGAAAAACAGGTTGTTGCAATTCGAAGAGGTCAACATAGAAATCAGGATTCATTTAAAAGTATCCCACAATTCCAGAACATTTTTAATCCAGAAGTTCTACTTTGAGATTTTTAAGATGAAATATTTTTCCGAGAATTAAGACACTTGAGTCTTTGTCAACTTCCTTCAAATGACACTGTGCCAAACCCTTGGAGTGTTAGCTCCTTTCTGTGCCTTTTCTTTTCATGGTTCTTATTAGATGAGGTGACCAGAGCAGTGTGCCGTATTATATATATGGCTATGCCACGGGTATGCAGAATAGAGTTATACTGGCTTACCTTTACTGCCTACATACCAAAATATAAGGCCAAGTGGGAGGAGATTTTTCTGATTATATTAATTTTATTGGTATTATTGCAGTACCTGTAAAATTACAGTAAATTACATACTAATTAAAACCTATACAACCTGTAACTTGCCAAGTTAAATGTAGCGCACTGGTCATCCAGTAAACCTTTAGTATTGGATTTAATGAGTTACAACTTGTCAGGGACTGCACAATCTATATGAAATGTTTCTTCTTGATCCAAAACTGGTAATACAGAATGACTGAAGAAATTATTATAGATGTTTAAAATCTGTACCAGAATTGAATGAAAAGGTAACAAACACCCCCACACCCAAAAATAAACCTGTGGACCTGAACCAGAACTGGACTCAAATGCTTAATAGGGTAGGGAACAGAATGGAGGTACATAGTGCAATCTTCAGTTCATTCTAGGAAATTCAAACTCCAATATAATGCAAAACAGCCAACAACCCTGTTCAGACACTGCACACTGAGGCTTGGTTTAGACACCAGCAAGTATAGAGTTATATGTTTAGAACATAAAACTTGCATCATCTGGCCAAAAAAAATCCTCTAGTTTAGCAGATCTCACTTTTTAAGTTGATTGTGCTTTTAATGTTTACAGAAAATGAAGTAAAAAAAGAGGTAAAGGGTGCAAAGGAATCAAAGCCAAAAGCTGAACAAAAAAGAGGCATGAAAGTAGTAAGTATCCATGGGAATCCTGAACTCTGCTTTAGTACCCCAGTTGAAATCCAAAAATTTTACACCTGTCTAATAGCATTATTTTAATTTTAATATACCTATTTTAATGCAAATGCATAACATACTGTCTTTGGCTATTTCTTGTCATGTTTTATCTGTGAAGTAAAGAAAGAGGTATAAAGGTTTACAGTAAGAATTATTCCTATGAATGTTCACAAATTTCTGCTGAATTTCAGAAAAAAATAGCACAAGATGTTCCCTGCAACATTTTAGCAATAAAAGGGTTGTCAAAAGGATTGATAGTAGTGAGGGTTAGCAAATCTAGAGGTTCTAGCCACCCTTATGGGCACAGTACTTTATCCCATGCTGGACTGTTTGGACAGGTATGATTCAAATTCATACATCCATTTTCCTGATTTGCACACCTCCTTAACCACACTCTTTACAAGTGAGTGGAGTGGTATATCTGTCATCAGTTTCCAACAACAAATACAAGAGGAAAACCTCAATATTCAATCTAATCCTAATGATACATGCTCAAAAATATATTCATATTCTTACCAATTTGCATAGATTCTTTGTAAGTGGCATATGGAGTGTTTGATTTGTTAGGCATCTTCAGATGTGCAGTTGGAAAAGCAGGGTGCAACTTACTACATATGGAGGAAGGAAAGGAAATGCGGAAGCTCCACCCAATCCACTCTAGCTCTCATTGTCTTAAGGATCTAGGATATGTTCCCCAAATGGTTTTCCAAAATCTGTACCCAGCCTTATATTTCTGTCAACTATGTAAATCTGGGAATGCATGCCGCAAACTTCAATTTGCAAAAACACTAAGGAGAAGTTGTGCTTTCTCACACAACAATATGCCAGGAAGGCATAAAATTAATTTTCACCTAGAGCAGCAAAGTAGCTTGAGAAAGTGGGTGGGTGGGAAGTGGTCATGATCATACATAGCTGAACTAATTCCCTATAACCACATTGTGGCATTTGAAATCTGATTTTAGTAGCGACTGGAATCCTTCTGAAGAGTTAAATAAAGTAGTATTCTCTCACTCAGTTTGAGAAGAATACCAGCAAGTGATATTACTGAAAACAACTGAGAGTTCAAATCCTAAGCATACTTACAGGAAAATTAGTCCCAGTTGAACTCATTAGATTTTAATTCTGGAAAAAAAACATACATTTAGAAATCTGTTGTATGGCTGTTGGGTTTTTTTCAAGGCAAATTTCTTAAAATTATTTCTTATTTAACAGCCTATCCTTAACCGTTTTCTGCCACCCAACTGTATCTCAATTGATATACATAATGTTAAATGTATCCTTTTAAAACTTACTGCTATACCAATGGAATGTTTAAACCAAGAATGCTTAAACAACCATCAGTTGTGTCAAAGATTAATTAACTACTTAATAAGGTCCATGATCCTGATCCTTGGGGTGTCTCCTCCATGATCCACAGCATGGATCACACACTGATACTACACACTGCATAAATTACTGAAACCAGAGCTGAGAATTCTGCCCTTAATAGTGCGCAGAAATGAACTACCAGTGGCTATGAAATGCTCTTGTCAAAGTGCAAAAGTCAGTAACAAGTGCAGATCTCCACTTGTTACTGACTCCACAGATCTGCTAGTATTTATAGCCAAGGGAAGATGGATGGTGTGGAGTGTGTGTAATGCCCTTGCTTAGAAGAAAAAGAGACTTGATCCTGATATGATGTTTAAACTGGGAGGGAAGTGTTTCACCGTATGAGAGCATGGTGGTGCCATGTGGAAAGTCATGTGGACTTTCTAAATGCTACCACCACAAGTTAATTGATGATCCCAAATTATGAAGTGCAAAGATGTTCAGCATCCAAAGGAGAAAATGATAATCAGAAACAGAACTGATCAGTGTTTTGAAAGGGATTTTTAAGGCAAAATGTGGAAGGGTTGAATGGAAGGATTTTTTTTTCTTAATCCAGAATTGGGTGGTATTTTAAAAAATAAAGTTCATCTTCTCCTGTCAAAACCAGTTTTTGTGTTTTGGGTTTTTTTTTTTTCATGTTTTTGTATTTTTGTTTTTGATTTGCAAAATTCTAGCTGTTGGTATCTCTGGGAGGTGAGTTTGGCCCTTGCGCTCATTTAAGTTTGAAGCCTCTCAAAATTTAATTTGCCTGTTCTTAACAACATGTTTTCAGATGTTGTGGATCCATATAATGATGGAAGAGATCAAGGTAATGTTTAAAAATTTACAGCCTGTTGTATTAATTGCAAATATAGTAGCTGACCCTGAGAAATCAGCCTATAACCTCCCCTGCCACAAATACCATTGAAGCCATCAAAACCATCAAAGACACTTCAGCTAATACCCTGGTTAGAAAATGCCTATTTTCTATTTTAGATATTAAAGAAAAAATAAAATAAAAATATTGAAGAACCCAGTTTATTTTAGAAATTAAGGAAAATGGACTAACTTTTAAAGTTTTTCTATTTTGTCCACAAATGTGCTTTTAGGAATTAGAATCATAGAAATATAGCAAGTCAGAAGGGCCTCCCTGGCCATCAAGTCTGACCTCTGGCTGCAGCTGGCTCCACTCATGTAATACCCAACATGTGGTTATCCAATCTTTCCCTCACTGATGGGACCTCAGCCATCTCCTTTGGAAGCCCATTCGATATCCTAGGGGTCCTAACCATCAGGAAGTACTTCCTGACATCCAAACTAAAACCCAGTTCTTTGAGCTTTGCTCCATTGGACTGTGTTCTTCTCTCCACCACAGGGAGAACACATCATGACCCTCTACCATGTGACAACCCTTCACATACCTGTATGCCAGTATATGATCCCCTCTGAGTCTCCTCTTCTCCAGGCTGGAAAAAAAAAACATTAATACAATCATCACAATATCAATAGTATAACATACAAAAGCCCAACTAATGAATGAAAAGGTATATGCCCTCAGCACCCAGGAGACCAGTAATACTTCCATTTTAATTCATATAACAATAAATGATATATAATATACTTCAACTATATCCATATCCCCTCCAAAAATTCATGCAATCTTGATTAGGCTTACAACCTTTACCTTCTATCAATACTGCTTTTACAAAATCTTCCCAAATTTCATTATATTTATTTGCTTTTATTAACCCCTTTTTAACTTCTATTTCTGTTGTCAGTTTTTATCATTAATTAACATATTCCATATTTCATTATACCATTCATGCTTTTGCATAACCCAATTCTGTTACCAATATTTAGCAATCACTAACCGAGCTGCAATTATCAAATTTAGGATCAATTCTTTCTTAACTTCATTTATATCTTGTTTTTCAATCAACAGCAATAACACAATTCTCAGTGACATTTCTAAATCTATATCTAAAATTTCTCTAATTTCATTAAACACCATAATCCAAATCTTTTGTATATTATCGCAATCCCACCACATATGTTTATAAGTTCCACTCCCTTTCCCACATCTCCAACATATATTAGAGTTTATAGAGTGGTACTAACAGCTTTCTCAGTATGGAAGCCACACTTCTGGTTATACATCCAAGAGTGGCACTTGCCTTCTTAACCACCACGTCACACTGCTGGCTCATGTTTAACCTGCTGTCAACAAGTACCCCAAGATTCCTTTCACAAATGCTGCTGTCCAGCCACTTGTTTCCCATACTGTACCTATGGAACCTATTCCTGATTCCCAAGTGCAGGTTTGCACTTATCTGCATTGAACGTCATTCTGTGGTCCCCTGCCCATTTCCACACTCTGTCCAGATCTGGAGTAGTTGCTGTCCAGTAGTGGCTACTACCTCCACTTTTGAAACATTTGTGAATTTGGTCAGCAGACTGGTTCCCCCTCCTCCAGGTCATTGATAAAGAGGATAAACAGCATTGGTCCCAGAATTTACCACCACTTGCCACCCTGATGATTCCCCACTGATAGTCACCCTCTGCTCACTCTGATAAAGTGCTTTGTGATAGAAAATTAATGAATAGTTAATGTGTTACAGGTTTGCATTTCATAATTTAGAACAAGTTCACATGACATGATAAGGAACCCTGAGAGTAAGTTATGCAGTATGAACAATCCACAATTCACCAAGCAGATGATCAGTGAGGACTGTCCCCCCCATCTCCCCCTCAGTTCTTCTTCTGTAATCACTCCTTCTGGTATATCCTCTGTCCCCTGATTGCAAGCTCTTTTTGGGAACCACCACTGTTTTTCCCCTTTTCCTTTTTCTGTATCTTCCAGTTACAGTCCTTCCAAACTGCTCAAGCAGCACATTGCAACAGCCACCACTCATCTCTCACTTCATTTAGTTGCCAGAAATGTTTGCACATATATTCATATTTGTGGGGGGGGGAGTCAGTATTTTAGTTAGGGTAAGTGTACCTCCATTAACCAAAACATGAAGTATTGCCTAGTCGATATCCAGTGAGTGTCTTCTGTCATATGGTGAACTATAGGGAATAGAAGTAAAGTCATGAAAGGATCTTTGCTCACAAAGGTGAGTAGTGGCTACATCTCTTCCTTTTGGGTGTGATCCTCTAGTTTTGTACTATTGTCCTGACTGTTCATGAGTTAGTGTGTTGTGGGAACCCTGTCTTTGTCTAATAGTGATAGGTGACCAGGATGCAATGAATTCTATACAAGTGAGTGAGGCAGGTTGTGAGTGAAGGACCACAAGCTGTGAGTGGCTGGTTTCTATCCTTGTTCTGGAGGAAGACCTTCCACCTCAACTAGCACAGAAACATGGACTAACAGAGGAGGGATAGACCAATCCATCCCTACTCCTGTCTGCATGACAGATGGCCTTTATTTTTTTACAAGGCTGCTTAGGGCTGGGGGAATGTGCTTGTAGCTTTCCATTTCTCTGTCAGTTATTAGCCTCATGACAAGTTAGCAATGTCTACACGTTATCAGGTGCAGCTGTTTAGCATAATACAGTTTAGGTTGCTTCATATCATTGTTGAACAACACTATGTTACTAATGTGTAAAATAATTATGTATTCAGAATTAGAAAATCCTGCACAAAAATTTAAGACAGTCTTAGAAAAATATGAGCCATTTACACATCGATGGGATGGAGTTATTGGTGACACACAATTTCCAAGGTATGTGAGTTTGTTTTTTGGGAGCTGTGCACAAAAGAATTTACAATGAAAACAAATGTCCACTACATTTTTCCTTATGTTGTTTATACAGAATCAAAATGAAAGGCACAGTTTATTCAAAATTCAAACCCTTTCAAGTTCATTTGATCTCACTGGTTGAAATAGATGAGATTTAAATGTGCTTCCCTTTGTTCAGGGTGTCACAGTCCATTGTCACTGCAACAAGAATTTGTTTAGTCTCAGAGTCGTGCCTAACCCACACAACCCCATGGACAACTTTCCTCCAGGCTCTCCTGTTCTCCACCATCCCCCGGAGTCCACCCAAGCCCACACCCACTGCCCCAATGACTATATCTAGCCACCTCATCCTCTGCCGCCACCTTTTCCTTTTGCCATTGATCATTCCCAGCATCAGGATTTTCTTCAGTAAGTTGTTCCTTTTCATTAGGTGGCCAGTATTTGAGTTTTATCTTCAGTATCTGGCCTTCTAAAGAGCAGACTGGTTTGATCTCTTGGCATTCCAAGGGACTTTACCAGCACCACAATTCAAAGGCCTCAATTATTTGATGCTCAGCCTTCCTTAAGGTCCAACTTTCGCAGACATACATTGCAACTGGGAAAACCATAGCCTTGACTATACGCACTTTTGTTGGCAGGGTGATGTCTCTGCTTTTTAGCATGCTGTCTAGATTTGCCATAGCTTTCCTCCCAAGCAGCAAGCATCTTTTAATTTCTTGGCTGCAGTGAACTTGGAGCCCAAGAAAATAAAATCTGTCACTACCTCCATTTCTTACCCATCTTTTTGTCAGGAAGTGATAGGACCAGACGCCATGATCTTAGTGTTCCTAATGTTGAGTTTCAGGCCAACTTTTGCACTCTCCTCTTTCACCCGCATCAGGAGGCTCTTTAGTTCCTCTTCACTTTCTGCCATTAGAGTGGTATGGTCTGCGTATCTGAGGTTGTTGATATTTCTCCTGGCAATCTTAATTCCGATTTATGATTCATTTAGCCCATCCTTTTGCTAAATAGGCAGGGGAACAATATACAGCCTTGCCATACTCCCTTCCCAGTTTTGAACCAATCAGTGGTTTCATGTCCAGTTTCATGTTGCTTCTTGACCTGCATAAAGGATTCTCAAGAGACAAATAAGATGGTCTGATACTCCCATCTCTTTAAGAACTTGCCACAATTTGTTGTGATCCACACAATCAAAGGCTTTAGCATAGTCAATGAAGCAGAAGTAGATGTTTTTCTGGAACTCCCTAGCTTTCCCCATGATCCAGCGTATGTTGGCAATTTGATCGAGTTTCTCTGCCTCTTTGAAACCCTTTCTTCTGTTAGTTCTCGGTCCACATACTGCTGGAGCCTAGCTTGTACGATTTTGGGTACAAGTTTGCTAGCATGCAAAATGAGCACAATGCTGTGGTAGTTTGAACATTCTTTGACATTGCTCTTCTTTGGGATTGGAATGTAAACTGACCTTTTCCATTCCTGTTGCCACTGTTGAGTTTTCCAAATTCACTGGCATATTGAGTGTAGCACTTTAACTGCATTGTCCTTTAGGATTTTGAATAGCTCAGCTGAAATACTGTCTCCTCCACTAGCTTTGTTGTTGATCAGACTTCCTAAGGCCCATTTGACTTCACATTCCAGGATGTATGACTCGAGGTCAGTGACTACCCCATTGTGGTTATCAGGAATGTTAATGTCTTTCCTGTATAGTTCTTTTCTGTAATCTTTCTTCTTAATTCTGCCTCTGTTAGGTCCCTGCCATTTTTGTCCTTTATCATGCCCATCTTTGCATGAAATGTTCCCTATCTATCTCCAGTTTTCTTAAAAAGAACTCTAGTCTTTCTCATTGTATTTTTTTCCACTATTTCTTTGCACTGTTCATTTAAGAAGGCCTTCTTCTCTCTTCTAGCTGTACTCTGGAATTCTGTATTCAGTTGGGTGTATCTTTCCCTTTCTCCCTTGTCTTTTGCTTCCCTTCTTTCCTCAGCTATATGTAAAGCTTCCTCAGACAGCCATTTTCCTTCTTGTATTTCTTTTATTTGGGATGGTTTTAGATGCAACCTCTTGTACAATGTTGCAAACCTCCATCCATAGTTCTTCAGGCACTCTGTCTATCAGATCTAATTCCTTAAATCTATTTGTTACCTCTACTGTATATTCATCAGGAATATGAATTGGGTCATACCTGAGTGGCCTAATGCTTTTCCCTACTTTCTTCAGTTTAAGCCTGAGTTTTGCAACAAGAAGCTCATGATCTGAGCCACAGTCTGGTCTTGGTCTTTTTTTACTGACTGTATAGAGCTTCTCCATCTTTGGCTGCAGGGTACATAATCAATCTGATTACTGTGTTGACTATCTGGTGATGTCCATGTGTAGAGTCGTCTCTTGGATTGTTGGAAAAGAGTGTTTGCTATGACCAGCATATTCTCTTGACAACATTCTGCCGGCCTTTGACCTGCTTCATTTTGTACTCCAAGGCCAAACTTGCCTGTTATTCTGGTTATCTTTTGGCTTCCAACTTTATCATTATGGGGGATTGGAATGCTGAGGACATCATTTTTGGTGTTAATTCTAGAAGGTGTTGTGGGCCTTCATGGAACCAGTCAGCTTCAGCCTCTTCAGCATCAGGGGTTGGGGCATAGACTTGGACTACTGCGATGTTGAATGGTTTGCCTTGGATTCGAACTGAGATCATTCTGTCATTTTGGAGATTGTATCCCAGTACTGCTTTTCCTACTCTTTTATTGACTATGAAGGCTACTCTACCCATAAAGATTTCTTCTGAGGGATTCTTGCCCACAGTAGTATACCTGATGGTCATCTGAATTAAATTCACCCATTCCTGTCCATTTTAGTTCACTGATTCCCAAGATGCTGATGTTCAGTCTTGTCATCTCATGTTTGACCATATCCAGCTTACCTTGATTCATAGATCTTACATTCCAGGTTCCTATGGAGTATAGATCTTTGCAGCATCGGACTTTCCTTTCACCACCAGATAGATCCGCAACTGAGTGTCCTTTCGGCTTTGAGCCAGTTGCTTCATTCTTTCTGCTGCTACTAGTACTAGACCTCTGCTCTTCCCCAGTAGCACACTGGACACCTTCCAACCTGAGGGGCTCATTGCCCATTGTCATATCTCATAGCCTTTTGGTACTGGGGCAGGTTGCCATTTCCTTCTCCAGTGGATCACGTTTTGTCAGAGCTCTCTGCTATGACCAGCCCATCTTGGGTGCCCCTGCATGGAATGGCTCATAGCTTCATTGAGCTACGCAAGCCCCTTCTCCATGGCAAGGCAGTGGTCCATGAAGGGGGCAGCAAAAATACCAGAATGGAATTTAAGAAAAATAATACAAACTATTAAATGCAGGTACTAATATATTATCATTCTGCAAAAATAGACTTACACATTACTTTGTTCCTTATGTAAATTTTACAAGTATTATTGACTTTTTAGGGCAAACAAATGGAAACAAATTTGTCACGTTTCTTTAAATTGTAGTATTTTCTAGAGCTGAGGTGAACTTAACTGAGCAGGATTTTCTTAAAGTAGCAGAGTTTTAATATAACTTTATACTGTACATTGCAGACTGCATATTTTGTATCAACTTTTGTTCTTATGTTCTTAACACTGTACTTTGTTTTGCAATGTTCTTAGAAATTGAATGTATTGTTAAAATGAATTTTTGGCCCTTTTTTATTTCAGTCAAGTTGAATGGGAACACTTACTGAATAACTGCAGTGCTTTTGTCTTCTCTGGAATGGAAAGATTCCTCTCTTATATATTGCTTGACAGACTCGCTGCTATGAACATACCAGGTGATTTAATGAAGCTGCAAAAATAATTCTGTTCTTTTTATATTGAAATAGATGAATCTGTTGCCACTAATTGTACAGTACACTTCTAGCATCATTGCTGAAAATTGACAAGCTGTTTTGATTATGTTCAGATGTGGATGATGCCATGTTGGCTACATAACTAATGGTACTCACAGCTGGACTTCGGAAATAAAGGACTTCATCATGGAATTCACGGTGGAATTTGCTTCTAAGCAGACAGTTTTTTATATATTGGAAACATTTTTACTCCACATGCAAGCTGAAAAACTTTCCCAGAGCAGTTTACAAAGGTTAACAATAGGAGCTTCTCTGCACGAGGCATTAATTGTGCACGTATGGTCCGTTACCTGTGACAGTTAGTAGGGCCTTCTCATGATGTATTCCTCCGGAGTCTTTCCCATGTTTTCCAGCCATTTTTGTAGCTTTTTTTTAAAGTGGGGAAAGTTCAGAATTTGTTGTTCCGTTAAGTAGCACTAGCAAATGGCTGTGTGTTTTTCATAGTTGTGCTATTTCACAGCACCATCTTCTGGTTCTTTACCATAGCCTACCATACTATACCTACATACCATGTGGGAAGAAAGATAAACCTATAAAGGGAAAAAATGAAAACGCCTTCTTCCTCACACAATGAAAACAGAAAGACCTCAGTAAAGTCATAGGGTAACTACCTCATGTAGAAAAGCCCCTGAACATTCCCCATCCTCAGGATTAACAATTAAAAGACATAAGGCAAAGGAAAAGGTACTGAAAGGAGGAGTGAAAAAGCAAACTCAGCCAAAGTTCCTATAATATTTTTATATTTTTTTCCTGGCAGAGAAGGAGAACACTGTTTTCTATAGTAGCTGCTCCTTCTCTGGCTACTATGAAGGTCAATTTGGTCTCCTCCTCATTATGATATTCCTCCTAGGAGCAAGGAATGGCCCCCGATCCTCTTTCTGATGGATACAGCCGGAATGAAATGCATAGGGTCAGGATCCAATCCATAATCTTTCATTTATATTTATATGTGCACCCTGCCATGCTAGGCATATTAAGTAAAGGCAGTTTTTTTTAAAGGATAACACAAACTAGGGGTCCAGAGATCCTCTTGCATAAATGGAAAGTATGTCCACTTGCACAAGGTGGTCTTTCTTGGTTTCTACCAGAATCTGCTTGCCTTCTACTTAAATCCCCTGTGCTACATCCCACTCCATTCTGGAACATTTGTGACCTTCAGAAATGGTTCAAGGGACACAAGAGGTTGGAGGACGGAGGAGTGGGCAGGAAAGCCTTATACAAGCAGAATTCTGCTAATGTTTCTTTGGATCCAAGCCACTACTGAATAACCTTAGGAACTGTTATGTTTTTCTTCAGAATGCCAGTTGATGATACTTTCAGAACTTGTACATTCAAAACCAAGTATTATACGAGTGAGAAATCTTGATGAGGACAGAAGGTAAAATACATTAGTTTTTCAGTAACCTATCTAAAAGCTAATAAAATTAATTTCTGTGCATTTATTTCTATTTAAATAAAGTCATCAACATATATTAACCATTTTATTGTATGACTTGTTGGGATTATTTATTTCCAACAGTTAAATTCCTTACTGTTTTCTAAAATGAAATATCATTTTACCATATACAATGGTTTGGTTTTTTTTTGTTCACTGTCTGTAAACTGCACAGAGACTTTTTTAGTAATTGGATCAGCATGCAAAAACCACACACACACACACACACACACACACACAGAGAGAGAGAGAGAGAGAGAGAGAGAGAGAGAGAGAGAGAGAGAGAGAACTTTTTCCATTCAAATTGTATTATACCTTGGAAACCAAGTCACAGTATGTTTAAAATCAAATTGTAACAGTGTTGGTTACAGTCTAATACAGAGCAAATATAATCCCATTAAAGTCTACAAGCTTAAGTACGCCTGTCTATGTTTAAGACTGTGGCCAAAGTTCATTAATAATAATAATCTACTTCCTTAGCACACATTTCTGAGGATGAAATGGGCCTTACTGCCAAGTATATATGCCAAGAACAGGCTGTTGGGGTATCCAATTGGCAACTGTTATTTATTATGTAGCTTGTAAATCCCTTCTTTAATGTCAGACATGCTGGCATGAAGAGTCATTTTCTTTTGGTGTAGCTGAATGATGAAACCACAGGCCTGTGTTAAGGAAAAGCTGAACAAACCAGAAGCTGGCAGTATAACCAAAAATTAGTGGGGCAGTAAGCACCATGTCTTATATTCAGAAAATGGCTGAGGGACCAGTTAATGTTGATTCTAATGTAGAAAGAAAGAAATGGCTTACTTCTAAGAGTTTAGAGATTAATGGGTGATTTCCAGCAGTTAACAGGTATTGTCAGGTTTTTCCCATAGACTTTGCTAGAGCTAAATTGATGGACTGATTTTGGAGCTTGAGAGAACATGGAAACCCCTTAATATAACATGTTAAACAAAAGATTTTTGTTAACTGAATTTGGACAAGCATATTTTTTATCCTTTGCATTCCAATCTATCAAGAATGCCTGCATTTTTTTAAAATCTTTGCTCATTATATTTCTACCTTCTTACTGCCTTCTTTAGTTCTTTTCGCCTGTCTCTGGAGATGCCAACAGAGACAGCAATCATTCTGAGTCTTATTGGAGTGCATTCCATTATTGTCAACCAATGGTATACTACCCTGGAAGATAATACAAGAAATCTGGAAAGCTTGTGTGAAAGTACGTAAAACTAAATTTCATGAACCAAGGTTCAATTTGGATGCCAGGAAGTACTTCCTGACAGTTAGGACCCTGAGGGTATGGAATGTGCTTCCGCGGGAGGTCGTTGAGGCCCCATCGGTGAGGGTGTTCAAAAATAGGCTTGACATGCACATGGTGGGCATGTTGTGAGCGGAGCCGGCTGGAGCCAGGGGTCAGACTAGATGGCCCAGGATGCCCCTTCTGACTCGCTCTGTTTCTATGTTTCTATGAAACACCTGATCCTAATAGCTATAGCTTTCTTCTGTATATTATAATTTGCCATCATACATATCCCCAGCATATTTCCCATGGATTACCCGAATGTTGTAGATTATTTTGGGTTGTGTCCTATGGCACACTCCCAGTCCATGTAGGGCACGGATCAGGCAGGTTGGAGTTCTCTGTTGCTTGACATGAACTGGAAATATACTCTATGTTTCCCTGTAAAACATTACAGGGTCACTGGTAGTAGTAGGCAAACTATGTGCAGTGAGTGAGCCGCACTACCACTCCTGGCAGGCATCCCAGAGTGATCATGACCTAGATACTGAACAAGAAGATCTTCATGACTTGGTGATGAGAGTTTTTGAGACTCGGAGAGGCAGAGGCCTTTGAATTGCCGTCAAGGTTGCTGCCCATGGATTCCCAGGAGGACCAGGAAATCAGAGTTGTTTTGGAAGAGATGGAAAGGGCCCAAGAAGGGGAAGAGGGGCAACCATCACTTTGCCCAGTCACTTGGGAGACCTGAGCTGTCGAGTTAGAGGGCTTGTGTTGGTCTCACTGGCTGGCTCATCAGTGGAAGCTACATTGAGAGTGGAGCTCACAGAATTACTGAAAGGGAAGGATTTTAGGAAACAGATCCAGGTTTGGATTCAACATTCTTTGCATGAACAAAGGATTATCTTTCATCTTACTAGAGGGCTTTTAGAGTTACTTTGTTGTGAAGCCATGAAGTGCCAGTAAAGATCTGTGTTGCAGAAAGACTTCCTGGTGGTTTAGAGCCTGAGGGCAAGAAGAAACGGCCAAGCTCAGGACTCTGTCTTTCAGATACATTTATCTACTATTTCTTATCTTCTCATGGAAGGAGTGATCCTGTGGATCCAAGACATATCTAAGGGACTGTAGGATGTTTCAGATGCCCAGCTCCAAGGTCAGAGATCATGCTTTCTGGGAAATTGAGCTCTGCCCCCTCACCTGCCTCCTTGAAGCTTTGACCCCTCCACTGGCTTTTGCAGACATTAGAAAAATGACCTTGCAGAGGGATAAAACAGGTGGAGTGGAGAGGAGGCTACAGTGGCTAGGATGCAATGTATCCTGAAGCTGCTTCAGCCTTCTTCATCCCTCTTCCTCCAACCTGCTTCAGCTGGAAGGGCACAACACAGAGCAGGATCATGGGTAGGCAAAGATTGCCTCCACCATTTTTCAGATCTCCATTGGAGACAAAGATGGCTATTGATGGCTGCTAGCCTTATTAGCTATATGCTGACTCCATTATCATAAGCAGTATGCCTGCATACACCAGTTGCTGAGGAGCATCAGCAGGTGGAGGTTTTGTATCCATCCTACTTGAGGGATCTTCTGTGCAACTGGTTTGCTACTCTGTGAATGGAGTACTGAACTGGATGGACCATTTGTGTGATCCAGCATGGATTTTCTTGCACTCTTATGGTTGCCTGAACATCTCTTGAGTTTGGGATGTGGTGGTATCTGCATAGAGTTATTCCCAGGGTTTCCTTGACAAGCTTCAAAGGAGCTTCCTGACATTTTCTGATACCACTTCTGATATCAGAGGTACGCCTGTATATACCAGTTGCTAGGAAACTTGTGCAGGAGGGGCTGTTGTACTCACATCCTGTAGGCAGCTGTTGTTAAGGTATGAACAGAATGCTGGACTGGATGGACCCTTGATCTACTCCAGCAAAGTGGTTCTTATGTAAGAAAACTGAATTCAGCTCCATTGTTTTTTGTTTTGTGTACATGTACATGTTTTGATTATGAAATTACTGTACTTTTTTGTAGATTTATTAAAAGTAGGCAAGACAACTGGACAGGCTGTTCGTATTCTTCAAAAGAGTAAGTCTGTCATAGACGAGTCACTTAAAAGTAAAATGTGTAAGTTTTTAAAAAGTGAACTGCACAAACAGATTTTAAGTATTCACAACTCAAAATTCTATATATATTTTTTCTTGTTGTTTGCTTGTCTTCTTAATACCTAATATTATATACAACAGGTGACCTGAACTACCAATGTCACCAATAGACATGGTACCACAGTCCTTCTATTTCAATTTTTTTCAGAAAATACTATAAAAAGAAGAAAATATATAGAAAGAAGAGATCAAGGATCATTCCAGAAATTTGGCATGCAACATCATCATTTATACACATTTATAATAAACAAAAGTCTCTGTCAGCTACCTTCCCATCCAAACCATTCAATTCAGGACTACATTCTTCTTGACTGAATTTGCAATCCTTTGGGTGGATGATTTCCTCTTTTCTCTTAAAATGCCCAGTGTCTTGATCTGATTTAACTATTTGTTCTGATCTGTATTTTTAGTGGAGGCAGGCCATATGGATTCTGCTGAAGATCTGAAAAAAGAGCAGAAGGAAAGTCCCAGGTCTTTCAGCCGTCCTTCAGTTCAGCCATCAGCTCTTAATGCTGTTTTATATGGGTTGCCCAACATGATGTTTATGTGATTTACAACATATTTCCTTATGTAACATGGACACTACGTAGCATTTGAAGTAAAGTTATTTTTGTTGAAATTTGTTCAAAATAAGAATTCAGAAAAAATCAATTTTTGTGGCTTTTTAAAATTTAAACACTACATTCAGATAACTATGAGACATTCAACTATTAACTATTTCTCTTGGTCTAATTTGCTTCAGAGTTTTTACTGCCAAAAGTTGAGGGCTTTGGGTTTTTCAGTCTGTTTATGCTGGATGGATTTCATGACACAATAAGAACCAATACAGAACAAGCATCACCCCACCCATAATGCCCTTGACACACAAACAGGTACATTATGGGCAGAGTGTCCCCTCCCTCCTCAGTCTTCCCACAAGTATTTGAGGGGACCTATTACATCCTTGCAAAGCCCCAGGAGATTATAGTTTGTGAAAAAAAGACTCATTTGGGAGCTACCAGCCCTATCAGAGGCTTGCAAAGAGGATAAATACTTACCTGCAGCCCGGGCTAAGTACTGTACAGTGCAGGGCAGATGATGAGGGAAGAATGGGCACATTCCAAAAGATAATGTATTCATGAACAAAACAATGTGAAGAAACTGCAGAGGGGACATGACCTAATGGTACAGTAAATATTGGTGATTACAGAAGATTGATTTGACAAAGAGAAAGGCACACGAACCGTAACAAGTTTCTGGTGTGGTTATTGACATGCAAGTCTAGGCTGTTTGCTGCAGTCCAGCAAATTAAGAGAATAAAAGCCTCAGTGCAGTGAACTGTGGAAGCTAACAATGGAGCAAGCTTAACTTTGCAACTAATGTAGCAGCTGCCTCAGGCCAGCAGAGTGTCTTAGTCTCTTAAAGGAACAGATGAATAATAACGCTGCAGGGAAAAGGGAGCCTCACTGAGAATTCTGGTACTTTCTAGGCCAAAGGAGCAGGGGCACTGATTTTATATCACAAAGGCACATATAAGCAATGTTTCTTTATAAAGATTTCTTTGGATTTTCTGTGAGAGGTTGTCAGGGCTTGCCACCTCCCATTTGGAGTCCAGGGAACAGATAAGATAACTTCCTGCTCCCAGGGAGGGACTCCTCAGAGTAGCCCATTGGCTGCAACCAGAGGAATCCACTGCCCTGATGTGGCACAGATTGAGCTCAATTAGCAACACCTGTGCTAGGGCAGGGGAAGGACAGCATGGAGGCATATAGGACAGGCAGGGGGAAGGAGGAAAAAGAGAAGGGCATAGAAAGGAACAGGGCAAGAAACATGGAGAGTGGCAGCAGGCAGACTAGCTGTGGAAGGTGTGGAGATGAAAGGAGGCTCAGACCACCAAGCAGCAAGAGCTGGTACTGGTCTCATAGGGAGAAGATTGTTTAGCCTGGGCAATTCTTTCTCTCATGCATTTGCTGAGATGACTACCAGAGCAGCTGCAGCTCCAAGTGGCAAGTTTCCCAGCGTACTCTGCATGAGTAAGGAGGAGACAGTGGGGCAGAAAGGAATGGCAATCCACTATCATGATTTACCACAATGGGATGGTTAAGCTGGTAAAGCATCTACAGTAAGCCCAACAAGCTCATTGTTGCTTTGCTCTCCCCTTCCTGCCATTTTCTCATAATTATTTATGGTAGTATCCCTGTGATTTGAAAGACTGGAAACTGGAAGAGATTCTAAACATATTATTGAGATGGATATCTCATTCATTCTTTGAAATTTTAGCTTCCATGTTTAAAGAAAGAACAATTTCCAGTTCTGGTAATTATGTGAGGAGTGGAAATATCAGGAAAGTGTTCAGTATAGTGCCATAACCATTCCCTCTCCTTCCCTTCTTCCACATTCCATGCTTACTGCTACCTGCAGTATCCTTTCCAGCAAAATTTCCCATATTTGACTTCTTCCACTCAATTTTTAAAATTTTCATTTTGTGGCATTTTAAGTCAAATATTAGATGCTTTAGATAACAGCTTTACCTAGATTAAAACTGAAAGCATGTATTATTTGATGTGGACAAGGTGCTTGGACAAGTTTAGCCTACCACCAGTGTTCCTGACCCTTGCCCCTCATGGCTGCTCATCCAAGTCAAGAAGAGAATGCAATCCTGGTTCCAGGTCATTGTAAATGCCTCTCTGAAGGAGGAGCTGGTTCCATCTCAATTAAAAGAGGCAGTGACCAGACCCTTCCCGAAGAAGGCAAACCTGGACTCCAAAGATATTTACAGCTATAGGCCTGTGGCCAACATTCCCTCCTTGGGTAAGGTGCTCAAGTGGGTGGTGGCCTGGCAGATCCAGGCACTCTTGGAGTAGACAGAACATCTGGATCCACTTCAGTCCAGCTTCAGGGCCTACAACTGCCTTGGTCACCCTGTGGGATGACCTTTGCAGGGAGAAAAATGGGGAGTGCTTCTCTGTTGGTTCTTCTAGACTTCTCAACAACTTTCAGTACCATTGACCATGATACCCTTCTGGATAGATGGGTTGGGTTGGGAGTTGGAAGCAGTGCTTTGCAGTGGTTCTGCTCCTACCTGACTGGCTAATTCCAGAAGGACTCATGGGGGATGGTACCTCAGCCACATGGTTTTTACCCCATGTAGTGTCACAGGACACCATCCTATTCCCCCATGCTGTTCAACATCCCTGAAGGCAAAGTTAAACCCAGAAAATAATTACACCACAATGGAGTTTGTTCATCACAGTTTGTTCATCATAAGTAAACAGTATGAGAGGTATGGTGCTTTTATTTTTAGCAATGGATTACTCTCAGTAGTCATCTTTTTAGAGAATTGTATATTAGCCATCCACATGGTATTTCAAAGAAGAAATTGGTACAGCTGTGCTAAAGATAACAGGCACTAGCCACTAAAAATTAAGAATGATTATTCATCTGAACCTAGCTATAATATACAGTGAGGTAAACTGATATTTTACAAATGTTTGTTTTCTTTAAACAACTGAGGCAAATGTTTAATCTTCCAAAGTGTCCCCCCCCCCCAAAATGTTCCTGTGCATAATTGATGCTTTGGCCTTGGCAACCACGTCAGCATCTTCTGTCAAAAAGATGGATGAGTAAAAGCAAAGAATTTCTTTATGGCCTGACAGTCCTACTTTATCATAAAGCACTGATAAAGAGTAATATCTAGATCCAGGAAACTACAGACTTGGAATTTTCACTTCTTGAGTGCAAGCTACTGGAAATGTATATCAGTAGCAGAATAGAAGATCACCTCAAAATGTATAGCATTTGATATTGGCATCTTTCTTCATTGTGTTGACTAAAAATAGATAATCATGAGATGGACTAATAGTTAAAAAGGCTGTTCAAAATGTGCCTCAGTGCCTCCATTTATGGGTCAGGTTTGTATGTCTATGCTTTGTTTTCCTTTCCTTCTTTCTCTCTTTCCTTCTTTCTTTCTTTGTGGGGGTTTTTTTTTTGTGCTATGCTGTGCTTTGTTTTTCCTCCAATTTAAATTTAAGTTTATTTTATAAATTTAGGTTTATTTTATCCTTGTGTGTGTTTGTGAGTGGGTTTTTGTCAGGGAGAACTGGGAGAGTGAGAAGAAGTGCAGGACAAACAAGGCAGGGGACCAAGGTAAGATCTCAGAAGGGATCCCAATGCCAGACCAGGAGATGGCCTTGGTGGGAGTCACGGGTGTTGCTGTCTGCTGCGACAACTGCGACATGTTCGCCCTTCTCCCCCAGGAGAGGCAGGGTTACACTTGTCCTCGGTGCAAGATGATGACCCTGCTAGAAGAGGAGGTGAGGTGCCTGAGGGCCCTCTGGGAGCAGCCCCCCTCTGGACAGAGGGTTGAGGAAGAGGCCACAGGAGGAGCAGCCGTGGAAACATGGAGGTATGTCACCCACAAGAGGAGGAGGCCAGCATGGCCGCCTCCTCCTCCTGGCACCAATCTGGAGCTGGGAAACAGGTTCTCTCCACTTGGGGAGGCTGGGGCTGATGAGGCCTTGGGGGACCAGCAGGACCCCCAGCCTGGGATGACAAGCGGCAAGGGGGCTACTGCAGGAGAGGCAAGGGCCAGGGCATGGCCACCCAAAACCACCAGGAAGACATGGCAGCGGGTGATTGTTGTTGGGGACTCCCTGCTGAGGGGCACTGAGGCGGCAGTGTGCCGTCCCAACCTGGAGACAAGGGAGGTTTGCTGCCTGCTGGGCGCACACATCCGGCATGTGAAGGACGGAGTGGAGCGTCTTGTTTGCTCCGGGGGTCACCAGTCACTCCTGGTGATCCATGCGGGCACAAACGACGTGGCCAGGCAGGGTGTAGTTGGGATCACCAGGGACTTTGAGGCCTTGGGGAAGAAACTCAGGGAGCTAAAGGCCCAAGTGGCCTTCTCGTCGATCTTACTGGTCCGGGGATTTGGGCCAGGAAGGGACAGGAGGGTCTCCAAGGTGAACGACTGGCTTAGGGTGTGGTGCCAGAAGGAACACTTCGGGTTCCTCGACCACGGCACTCAGTTTCTTGCCTATGGACTTCTGACAAGGGATGGGTTACACCTCACGAGGATGGGGAAAAGTTCCTTTGGAGATGCTCTGGCGAGCTTCGTCCAGAAGACTTTAAACTGAGCCCGGGGGGGGGAGGGTTCAGGCCCCCCAGAAATGTGTCTGCACTGGACAAGTGTGGGGAGAGGATCAGGGCTCTGGGAGCAGGGTTTTAGAGGTACTGCAGGGACTGACAGGACTCCTACAGAGAGGGGCCAGGTATCAGGGAGGATGGGAGGAAGGAGGAGGCTGGGAACTCCAAGGAAAGGAAGCGGTGGAAAGGAGTTGAGGTGCATGTACACCAATGCTAGAAGCATGGGTAATAAGCAGGAAGAGCTTGAAGCTCTCCTGGGAATAGGAGGGTATGATCTGGTGGGAATCACAGAAACTTGGTGGGATGAAAGGGAAGTCTGGAATGTGAACATAGAAAGGTATCACCTTTTTAGAAAGGACAGGAAGGGAAAGAGAGGTGGGGGCGTGACTTAATACATCAGGGAAGGGATAGGATGCACTGAGATAG